CCCTGGCCTCCTCATCTTTCAAGCCATGAAACTGGATAGAGGATGTGATGAGCTGAATCCAGCATGGCTTGATCTCGAAGTTATTTGCTGGAATAGGCGGGTAGAGGATGACCGGGCGGATGTCAGCAATCCGCGGAGTGTAGTAGTACTCCAAGGTGGGACCCGGCTGCGGTGGATGATGAACTCCATGATCCTGGGGTATGGGGTTGTTCCCCAGGACCTGATTCACCGGGGGAGCCTGCTGAGGATTCCCCTGGTGTTGATTGTACTCTCCGTCCATCCCGTGCTCTTCTTCAGAATCACTGCTCACGTGGCCGTCTATGCGCTCTTCCGTAGCCAGTCTAGCTCGCAGTTGTCTCCTGAGCCGGCGACAGGTGCGGTCAATCTCTGGATTCAACGGCAGTAAACCTCCCGACTGGCTACGGGTCATGCACTACCTGCACACACTCAAGCAAGCAAACCCGTGAAGGCACAAGTGGGACAAAGCAAACAAAGCAAAAAGAAAAGTTAAATTAACAGAAATCACTTTTCTTCAACAACCTAGCCGTCCCCGGCAACGGCGCCAAAAACTTGACTCGACTCTACTGTCACTCCAGGAATTGGCCAAGTGAAACCACTTCCTAAAGCGTAGTATAGCGGGTTTGGGTTTAATTATCAACCCGGGTCCTAGATATGATGACTACTCAGTGAATTCGTGTTATCTAGCAATGAAACTAGAATGCAAGTCTAAACTATCAAACTAACAAAGCAGGTAAACGGTTGTATTCAGGTTAAGAGAGGTCACCCGGATATGGTTCCCCCTAGACTGCAGTTAAGCCGGATTGTAATTACCAAGTTCAGTTTCTATGAAAGTTATACTGCGGAAGGTTCTTAAACAGCCTGAAGTCTCGACTAAAGGTCTTCAGACCCTCTCAATCTGAATCTCTAGAGGGCGACTAACCTCCACCGGAGTAGACAGATTGAGGCCCTAAGAACGAAACCTCCACTACCGGAGTAAATCCGGTACAGAATAGTGAGTTGGTTCCTCGACTAAAGTCACCAACTCCCTACCTTCAATCAAGGATACTCTATTAACCTAGGCAGATATTCTCATTCTAGGTTAAAGCAGAAACAACAGGAATTTGATCAGGATTCAAGTCATTCAATCATTAAAACCTCAATCGAATATAATCAATCATAGAAGCAGTACTTGGGTTCATACAATCAAAGCCTAACATACAAATCTAGGGTTCTCCATACCCAGATGAATGGGAGAACTACTCCATGGAGAAGAAAGCAAAAGCAGAATCAGACACGGAATTCATACTGCGAAGGATGGATTCCTGCTTCTGGACGTTGATTGGCACTTCTCCAAGCTCAAGCTAGCCTCCAATGGTGTTGAAGATCAATCTAGGGCACTTGGGAACTCTTGCTCGTCACTTTCTCTCTCTAGGAATCGCTCTCTTTCTCCAAAACCCGAATCCCCCCGAATTGTGGCTGAAATTCTGCTTAAAAGGAGAAAATCCCGACTCACACGGCCACGGCCGTGCAGCTCACCCAGTTGCCCGTGTGAGTCAAAACGCAGCGTATCATTTAGTCGAATTTCAGGCTCTTTGCACGGCCAGAATGGCACGGCCGTGTGAACTTCCCTTCCTGCCCGTGTTTGCTCTCGCAGAATGTGGCACGGCCAACCCGGCCACTTGCACGGCCGTGTGGGTCTTCTGCTCTGCCCGTGTCTGCTCTCGCAAAATCCCGCACGGCCAAACCACTCCTTCACACGGCCGTGTGTACATCAGGGCAGCCCGTGTGACCTCCTTTGTGACTTGTCTCGCGCCCGATCTTCACCCAATCGACCCCGAACTCGCTCCTAAATTCGCTTGCCAGGACCTGAAATATCACAAACGAGCACAACCTAGCGTGAAATCGGTCTAAAACACGAGAAACCACATCTCCAACAGTGTAAGAACAGGGGTGAAAACATGTGTAACTAACGGTCTATCAAATATGTCAAGGAATTATGAAATACTAAGCTAAACGAATAAGAAATGAGAGGTAAAATGTGTACATTTGAGCCTGAATCAATATGTGAATTTTATTAGACAACTATCGATTACCACCTTAATTACTAACTTGAATTCAATAAGCATTTATGATTTCTTTTGTGAGGTATTTTGGATGTTTTGTTAGAACTTCTACTGATATATGATATGCATTTTTTCGATGATATGCATTTGAAATTGCTTATAATTAGTGATAGATTCAATTCTAAATTGTATTCTATGTCTGTTACGATGCGACCCGAATCACCTCACATGACGTGCCTCGAATTTGAAGGATATAACTTTCGTGGTCCGAATTTGAAGGCTCTAGAGGCTCGAGAAGGTAAAATGGTGGGCATATTTGACCAAGAGATGATCGACGAAGGAGCTGGAGCAATTGTGGGTCGAGGCATGGTCGTAGTCCGAGATGGGATGAAGGCATCAAATCCTTGCCAACTTGGGACAATCCCCGACCGGGGGTGTGGTAACTCGATCGAGGATCACGTCCAGAAGGACCACCGATCGTGAGCACCCCGATCCCCGATCGGGGAATAGGGAGGGCGTGAGCGGGGATTGGGCGCGGCATTGCTGTTGCCTTTTCGTATTTACGTTTTGGACTTGCTATTTAGTATTTTAGTGTCGTCTTGCATTCGTTTTTAAGGTTACTTTGCTACTCCTATATAAGGAGATGAGGACTATTGTATGAAACGTTCAACCAAGTATTATTCATCAAATAAATCGAAAGATTTTTTAGTTAAAGTATTGAACGGTTGTGCCAACTCTCCGTAGAGTATTCCTGAGGATTGTATGAGGCTCTTATCAACCAGACGATCACATCTGGTTGTGGCTAGCGATGACTATACCGATTGGCTTTTCCCACAGGTTCTAGATTTTTTACTGTTTCCCCGCTATATTTACTTGTTTCCGTGTTTTTTAAGAAACCCCTAGAAACCCCCCAAAATTGGAGTGTTGTGTATTCTGATTGTTGAGCGAGTTCAAATCCCTTGAGCCTGACTCAATCACTTTATGTTATAAGCAGGGCCGACCCATGATATTCGATCGCCCTATTCGTAAATTAGAAAATGTGGCCCTAAAATATTTTCCCGCAAATTTATTAAATAATAAGAATTATTAAAAATTAATTAAGGGAAAATTTATTAAAGCAAATTTGATCACGTTGAGACTCTTAAGTACGGTTGGCTGAGTATTTAACTCAAATACTAAATGGAGGGGAATTAGAGAATTGAGATGTTTATTAGTGTTCAATAGGAATGAATTAGCATGGTTACTTAATTTTCAGTAATCACGGTGGCTACCAAAATCTCCACCCTTCATCATCTTTATTTTAAATTATTTTTAAATTAACGGTAAATATTATAATAAGGGTAATTTTGAAAATGAAAAAAAGTATCACACTTGATTACTCTATATATTGTACCCAAACGCTAATCCTACTGCAACTCACCCACCCTCTTCCCTGCCTCCGCCGCCCCACCTCATCCCTCATCCCCTCCCATACTCTCCTACCACCACCCTCCCGCCACCCCACCCCAACCCTCCTCCATTCTCACATCCTCTCTCTCTCTCACTCAGCGGCTAGGGTCTCCCCTCCTCCTCTCTCTCTATCTATGAGAGGCTCTAGATCTGGGTTTACTTTTTTGGTACTGGTTTATTTGTTTCATTTTATGAAATGGTAGTTTTGTTTTTATTAATGGTATTGATTTATTTTTGCAATGGTATTGTTTTGAATTTTGTAATGATATAGATTGTTTATATTGGTAGTTTTAGTATAATGGTATTGTTTTTCCTAATGGTATTGATTTATTTCTGCAATGGTATTGGTGTTTTCCGAAATGGTAGTGGTTGTCTAGCGGATTGGTATTAGTTTAAATATGCAATGGTATTTATTTTTTGCGAAATGGTATAGATTTATATTGGTAGATTGTTTATATTGGTAGTTTTCGTGTAATGGTATAGATTTATTTCTGCAATGGTATTGATATTTTTCGAAATGATAGTGGTTGTCTAATAAATTGGTAGTGATTTCTTGTTTTTTCTTTTGCAGGAAGATTGAGAAAAATAAGGAAAGGGGGTCTTGCTGGAGATTATGGAAGTGAGAGAAAGAGGGAGAATTGTAATTAATAGATTCTTGTAACTACCTAAAATGTAATTTATTAAAAAAATTAATTAAATACAATTTATTTTTCATACCTAGTTTACCCTTAGTAACTAGTAGTAATCACCGTAACCTGTCTCATGTTCAATAGAGATATGTATTTGGGATGAACATTGATTAGTAGAGATAGAGACATTGGATTTTTTTGGGAAGTTGAGAAATACGGGAAAAGGGTTGATTATTGATGAGTAATGTGTGTTCGGGAAAATAGGAAAGGAGGGAAGGAGGTAGCCGAATCACTATAGATGTTGTATTTAGTGGTTTTTAATACTTATATAAATGGACACATAATCAGCGACGGATCTTGGGCGGTGGGGGGCTCGGGCCACGGTCCAGTCCTCTCTCGATTCGGAGCTAGTATAGCATATATAAATTTTTGATTTTTTGTGTTCGTTTCAGTGTTCGTCTCAGTGTTCGTCGTGTTACGACCCAGACTTTTCTGCCTTTTTTCAATGTGGCCCAGTGCTCTACCCAATCCTGGATCTGCCGCTGCCTATAATTATGAGTACCCAAAAATTTTGAGTCGTTGTGTTGTGGGTCTGATCAGCACATGAATTTTGAGTCGTTGTATTAATTGTCTTATCGTCAATAACTAATGTGTCTGTAATAATTAATCGCTGAACCATTAACCATTAACTCTTCCGGTTCAATGTCCGGTTCCGAAGGTGAAAAGGTAAACTCGAAGCTATTTAGTTTTGAGCATTTCTACTATGCTATATAGTATTGGTGCTTTAATGTACAACTTAAAGTTGTACCCTAACATGAAATGTATAAATTTATATTGTACCATAAAAGAATTTGTACCATTATGTTATGGTACAACTTTACAACTTGAAGTTGTACCATCACATAAAGGTACAAGTTCAAGTTGTACCATAAAAGAATTTGTACAAACAGTATAGGTACAATCTGAAATTGTACCATAAAATAAATGTACAATTTTAAGTTGTACCATAAAGGCAAAAACCTATAGCACCAATAAATTCCTCGTTTAGTTTTACCGAAACGCATTGCGTATGACGTTTTCAGAAGTTTTCTCTCACTGCTTTTCCCGTTGTATTACTTTCCCTCTTCGCCCCTCAAGTCCCTTTTCCCTTTCCACTCCACGCCGCTGAGAAAGAGCAGAGGAGTCCTCTTTTGTCTCCCTCGGCCGCCACACTCTCGTTTCCCGCTCTCAACCCCCGAAGCTGACAGTCATGTCTTTCGCAGCAGCATCTAGGGTTTTCAAAACCTGCCGGCCTCTCCTGGCCCCCTCCAAGTCCGCCGCCGCTGCTTCAATCCCGGCAACGCCAGCCAAGAAAGCAAAGGCAGCACCGAAGCCCAAGCCGGACGCGCCCAAGAAAGCTAGCGGCATACTGAAGCAAGTTGCAGTCTCCCCGGAGCTTTGCAGCTTCCTTGGGGTTCCCGAGGCTTCTCGCACGGAGGCTGTTAAAAAGATCTGGGCACACATCAAGGAACATCAGCTCCAGGTTCCCTTTTCATTTTTGCCCGATCATCCCTCTATTTCTGCGTTAGAATGCATGTTAGGGTTCCTGAAAGCATGGTTGTGGTCTCCGGTGTTGTTCAATGGTGTTTTTGTTGCTTGTTTTACTTGGTCGCCCATGTTTCATAAACCCTAGGGTTATATGTTTTGGGGGAACTAACGGAACCCCCTGCTTGTATGGTTTCTTGTTCAAATGGGTTCCGTTTGCTGGTGATTTCGAGTGTGCGGTTTCCCCAGGACATCGAACACGGTGCATTTTGGCTTTTGGGGTTTGGGTTTCTTCACATTTCTCTGCTGGTCTCTCTTTACCCTGTTGTCCTGTGGACTGCGGACTATGGACCTTTCGGCAATGCTGACGGTTTCTAGTTCCAGTTTGTCTTAATGGGTCACTATGTCCATCCTTGATTGCCTGATAAAGTTACTGTTTACTGGTTTTGGGTTGGTGCACATCATGCCGTGCTCTTAGCTAATAGATAGAAGCTTAATCGGAAGAATGGTTCTGTGCTCTTTTTTGTTGGCTGAAGGAATTTTTGTACTCGATGCTGGTAAATGACAGCCAACTGAAACATGGGTTATCATGATATCACTGGATTTCTTCTCTCGACTGTGTTTGAACTCTTGGGAATTTGTTCCAGGTGTACATTACTTTGAATTGCTTCAATTCTACTGTTATACTTATTTTTATGCTTCTTCCAGATAGGTTCCTATTTAGACAAATAGGTTAGGTTACGTTGAGTCTCATGTCCTATGAAATGGTATGGATGTCTTCTTTTTATGCAGAACCCTGCAAACAAGAAAGAGATTATCTGCGATGACAAGCTTAAGACAATATTTGCCCAGAAGGAGAAAGTTGGGATGCTGGAGATTGCAAAGTTGCTGTCGCCTCATTTCAACAAGTCTGGTTAGCTGGAGAAAGAAACAGTGGTGTTTTGTGGCAGTTGGGGATCTCTTTTGAAGCAAGCTCTTAGTAAAATTTTCATCGTGAATCCTCCCTGGAATGTTGTTTTTCTTGTCGATATTTGTGGTTTTGTTTGAGTCCCCAAACTGTGGACACCTTTTTGTTGCAAGTGAACTAGTTCTGATCTTGACTCTGTAAAAAGTAGCTAGGGGAAGAAAGCATTTGCTTCTTCAACAATGGTTAAACAACTGCTCACTTTCATATCCCATACTCCTATCCTCTTCAATAGCTCACCCTTTTGATGCCATGATGTTTGCAGAATATAGATCAGCTGTTTCTTTTTCCTGTTTTCATTGTCATCTTGAGCAAAATCATGGCAGATGATCTCCAAGCTCAGAAGTAGGGCAGTGAGAAATGTGGTTAGTGAAATGTTGTCCCATGATGTGTTCATCTCAGGTCTCTAATGGGAACTAACAACATTCAGAACTGTGGTTTAGGGGCCATTGGCCACCACGAAAGGCCGGAAGAAAAAGGTTGTATTAGTACTTCACTATTAGCAATGGTACAACTTGGAACCCTAACCCTAACCCCCCTGAACTGCAAGGAAGACTGGGAAGAACAATTTTTATTGGTACAATTTTTGATAGCTGACCATTTGGACAGAAGATTCTAATTCAACATCCTGTTTAGTGGAGGAGATGGTGAACCCACTGTTCGATGACGCCAGGAGAGCCATACCAAGGGCGCTGGGAGTCGTCGGATGAGCCAATTGGCGAGTGGTAAACTCCGTCCAAGGTAATATTGAGCGCACCCTCCAAATGGGCTGATTCCTCAGGCACCACTCCATCTCCCCACACGTCTGCTCTCCCACACACCTGAAAACCACACACACAGGCATTAATGTACTATTAGATATAATAGTTGAGGACATCACTTTCCAACAAAGCTGTTTGTACCTGTTTATAGCCCTGTCCTACGAATCGTGCTCGGAATGTTGGATTCGTGGTGGAGTTGACAACATCCGCTGCAAGGACCTCATCAGTCACAGGGACAACTGGACCAACTTGCTGCTCCTCTGTGTTCCCAACTAGTTTTGTGCCTTTAATATACCTGCATAAGTTTCGCCGGATAACAATGAAAACCAGATCTCAGCCAACTCTCCGTAAATTTGAATGCATCCCATCATGTTGCTAGAGTGAAGATAGCTTTTACCTCCCAGCTACACATACGTATTTAAGCTGTGGAGTGAAGACAGCTTTGCGGCAATGCTCTTCGACGTAGTAAAGAAGACCCCTTGTTTGATCAATCACCCCAGGAATGCCCTTTGGAGGAGGCCTGCAAAAAAAAAAAAAAAAAAACACCAAGCAGCGACGATGCAGTCAGAGAAGGAAACTCACATCTCTTAATCGATCGTCACATTCTACAGCTAGCTGCATTTCCTTCGTTGATGAACACAGTCCAAATGTAAAACAAACACAAGACTTACAAGTGGGGAGTACCAAGAGTTAACAAGAGGGAGATATCAGACACCCCAAACTCTTCCATGTAGACACGAGCAAGCCACCCGCCTGCTGAGTGACCGATCAACGACAGAGTCTCGTCGCCTGCAAAAGTGAAGAACCCAGTTCTGTTCTTTCTGTCAAAAGTTCAGAGATGATAGATTATGGAAAGTTGCATGAAGCAACGAACACAAGTTTTAGCTGGTCTGGAATGCCAAAGAGGCAGACAGGTTTAGCTTTGTCTGGAATGCCACCTATCAAACCCTTATTGCGGGGAATGGGAAACTCTTCATGGATTCAATTCAATGAAAAAGAACACAACTTTATTAGATGTAACGTTAACCACCTTGAGCAAGGGCCTTAGCCTCTTGGACAGCATCATCCACCCTCTTCAAATACCTAACAAAGAAACAAAACAACCACCCAGTTTTACATGGTTATCCAAAATCGTCAATCTGACACCCAATCATTCAAAGGGGAAACCCCTCCTGGTACCCAAGGAAAAATTAGCCAGAAAGAGGAAAGTAATCCAAGGAGAAGAAACGGGGGGAAAGGAAATACCAATCAAGAACAGGGCGAGGCTTGAGAGTGCCACTCCAGTAACTAGGGTCCAAAAGACCAGCGGCATTTCTGAGCCAATCAACTCTGCTCACCTTGGCCACCACCGTGGGCACTCCATACTCTCCCTGCAGCGTCAATTGCAGAGATGCATAGTCAGCCGAGTTGTTCCCCAACCCCTGCAATCAAGCAAGCAACATCATCCAGCACCCAATCAGTCGAGAGTGTTCTTCCTCCACAAACTATATATAGTGGCATGTAGGAAGGCAATGTGAGTGTTTGTATTTACGGGAAGAATGACGGCTGTGCGAGGAATGCTAGAAGAAGAAGAAGAAGAAGAAGAAGAAGAAGCAGGAGGAGGTTTCGAAGTGGGTGTAACCCTGACCCTGAGAGAGAAAGCCATGGCCATGACGGTTATCTCTCTCTTTGTCTGTGTGCTTTTCTTTTGTTCCTTGCTTGGTTTTGGGGTTGATCTGTCTCCGGGGAATTCTTGTTGTTGTGCGCCAACCCAAAGATTTTCACAGCTCTATCCCCTAACAGTCGAGCAAAACCTCAAATATGTTGAGGATTGCATGTCTGTTTTCGTGACACGTGGGAACACTTTTTATTTAGGAGTAAGTGGTAATATTTTATTGGGTTGATACCCTAGTTTCACGCATAGTCCATGAAACCGTACCGTACCGGCGGTTCAACCACAAAATACCAGTATCAGAGGCTAAACCGGTATGCGGTATTTAACGGTACTAACGGTTAAACTACGGTAAAACCACGGTGTTGTCATAAAATACTCTACCGCTAACTTTTCCGGTACGATCTCCGGTACGGTTTCATGGACCATGGTTTCACGTCAAGTTAGCGAAGGGTTTTGACTTTTGATTACATTTTTTAAATAAGACATTTATAGTCTATTTTTTGAAACTATTAGACAAGTTGGGCTTCTTATATGGGTTGACTGCCTGAATTGACTAAGGGAAGATAATAGAGATGACATAAATTTTAGGGTAAATACAATTTAATATCCAAAACTTTCATTTTAAACAATATAATAACCAAATCTTTTCGAAAACAATCTAATATCCAAATCGTCAACTTTCTGTCTGTTTGACCGTTAGTTGACACTTCAAAAAAGTTCGAAGTACGACATTTCATCAATATCTATCGATATCTTCTCTGAAAAACCACCAACATATCGTAGTTCCATACCCGAGAAGTCCATGACTCCACCATGATGGTATAGAATATCTAAATATTCAGTCATCTGCAATGCCAAAACAAGAAAATAAAGTTGTATTGTGACAATTTCCCCTAAACAAAGCTTTTTTGAAGTGTCAACTAACGGTCAAATGAACGAAAAGTTGACGATTTGGATATTAGATTATTTTCGAAAAGGTTTGGCAATTATATTGTTTAAAATGAAAGGTTTGGATATTAAATTGTATTTACCCTAAATTCTAAATTGTTTGGTGAGAGTATAATTTATTGTGTTTGCTATGTATAACTTATATCCAAATAAATATGTATATATTTATATCATGCAAAACAAACTAGTTTTTCTAACCACATCGTTCATTTATTAGACTGGCTCTAACCCAAGGAGCAAAAAAATCAAAGAGCCATATATAACTCTTTTTCTTACTCCAACCCACAAAAAAAGAGGAAGTCAAATATGGGTATTGGGGTTTTGGGAGCTAAATTTGGCTAGGTTTTGGGAAGAAAGCCATTTATGGCTGGGCAAAAAAGTGGGTACTAGACCCACGTGTGTCACTCACATGTGGCAGACAATTTTTTTTTCCCCTCTCCTTCCTCATTTGTAATTGGTTGTTGGTTTGTTGGTGTGATTTGAATTTTAATGAGAATCAATTTACGTAGTGACAAAACAACAGTCACTTTGCAACGATCATATATTAACAGCCATAAAAAAAGGTCTTGAAATACAATCACACTGAAACTTGAAATACAAACAACCAAGCAACAAAGAAGTAAAATTAATATTGAAACATGCAATACAATCTACAAGCAAACAAGATGGTCTTAAAGTAACGACTACAAGAAAATGGTCATATTTGAAGTGGTCCCGAAGTTAATGGTAACAAATTAGCGACTAATTTTTCAAAAAAAAAAGTGTCTCGGAATTAAAAAAAATTACATCAAAATTTTTGTTTTCAAAAGTAATAACGAATTATTAAAAAATTAAAGTGAAATATAAAAACTAAAGGTCAAATAAGTATGGTTTATTGAAATAAATTGAAAAAATGAAGGTGGGAAGCTAAATTTAGCTTTTTGTAGGGTTGGAGTGAAAATGGGGTTTGGGGAGCTAAAAAACAATATTTAGCTATTTGGGGAGTCAAATTTGACTTTGTGGGTTGGAGTTAGCCTCAGAAAGTAAAGCTCTTGATATTTGAAAAGAAAAGTGAGACAATCGCCGAGCCTGGTAACGAAGGCCTGTAACTCAAGTGAGGGCAACAAGGTGATAGAATATTGGTAGATTTGTGAGGTCGGATCTGTTGTGGCTGAATGCTAGTTTGCCCATTCCAAGCATGGAGTTGACTAGAGTTTCATCAACGAAGGTGGACGAGACTCTCTCTCCTAAAGTGGAGGGGGATTGCGTGAGACTGGTTTCACAGAGCAACGATAACCTCCCACTCTAAGCAGTGATCACTAAACAAGTTCAATCCTCCATCGATTTCCAAGTTTCACATCATATATCTCCTCACATGATGGTGAAGGAATATAACTAATTCGAGTGAGCATTGGACAATGATTCTGAACAATCTCAACACTATTTCTATAGTTATAATTATTCACATTCTTGGAGCATAGAAAATGTTGTGAAGTTTGAATTCCAATATATTAGAAAACATATTGTATAAGATGAAATGAAAATTCATGTGACTATAGTGTCACTTACCAACAAAAACATTTGCAAATTATCCTTAAGACATTCTTGATGTACCATACATGCACTCTAAAACGAACTTGTTTGCCACACTCCCACAAACACACAGAAATACGGAACCGGAAACACCAGTTATCCCACCCTCTACCCAGTAATGACGTCCATTATGATCAATAAATGTGTTAGAAGGGAGTTGAAAACTTTGTTAGGCTAAGTGAGATGCCACTGGAGGTAGATAATGGAACTAATGGTGATATAGATGATCCCAACCACAACACCCACGTAAAACCTCCGTGAAACCATAATTTAAGAACAAAATAGGTAACCCGACATAAATTAAAAGTATCCTTATGTTATTTAAAAAATGTTCAAAAATATGTATTGATCAACAAACTAATAGGTGGAATTTTTTTCAAGAATTTTCAAGATTCATTGAGTAAAGCAAGGAGGAAATTAATAAAATTTTGGAATAAGTAGATAAAACTTTAATGATAGATCTCTTTCCAATTCTCATTCTCATTAGAGAATGAAAAACAAAATTTGGAAAAATTATGCTATAAACAATAAATAAACCACATATAGGATTACATTAAAATGAAAATATCGCAAAGGAAAAAAATGAATGTATGAGACGAAAGATAAGATATAAAAAATGTTGAACTTGATAAGAATTCGATTGCCTTCTAGTATTCAAGATTTTTTTGAACGTTGGTTGGCTGTTTCATTAAAAAAACAAAACACGATGTACAGAAATAACATCACTGAAAGGAAGGACGAAAGAACCAAACGGAAAAAGGATTGAACCAAAAGTGGAACATCCAGGCCCAAGACTCGCAAGCCCAAAACCCATGTTCAAACACGTGGACCAGCCCACCCCAAGCAAAACCCTAAATCCGCTAGCCCAAACACACAGAGGATGGCAGCCGAAAGCATCCCCCAGCACCGAGAACCAGCCGCCGAAATCCTTTCAACCTTCACGTGACCAATCGCCGGTGAACGACGGAGGAAGCAGACAAGGGCTCCAAAACACCACCAGCTCCAGCAGACCCCCGACGTGATGGAAAAAAGGAAGAGCGGAAACCTCAATGAGGGGAACAAATCTCCGATCCAGCTCCGAGCTCCACCTGCACGAAACAAGTAAAACAAAGAGCCATCCGATTCTTGGACAGAAGAAAGACGATCAAAACACCTCCGATTTGAGCCCTAAGCTGGTCCCATCCTCAATAGTGCCATCCCTGCTTACAAGCCCCTTGAATCTTCATCCAAGACGACCATGGTCCATGCATCTCCGATTCATCCCCATTTTTGGATGAAACATGTGGAGGTAGATGGAGGACCAGAGAGGAGCAAGCGAACCGACGAGCTCGGCACCCTCAAACACCTATCAGAGAAAACATCCACACGGAGCGGGGATCTGGCGGGGCGCAAAAGCATCTCCTCGGGGAGATCGAAAAATCATCATCACTAGGATGGAGGAAAACCGGAAATGGAAAATAAGCAGCAAAAGAGCAGCGCCAGCGGCGTGAAAAGGAAAGAAAGAAAGACTAGAGAATGTAAAAAGAGAGGCAAGAAAGAAAAAGGTTTGGGCCACCGTCGGTCCAAAATGGTTGCCGACGGCATCCCCAAATCCCATATCTGTATTTGAAAACTAGTGAGAGGGGAGAGGAAGGTAAAGGTAGAAAGAGGAAGTCACTGTCAAGATGTATCAATAGCTTCCTTACATAAATTGATTAAGGGAAGATAATAGAGATGACATAAATTTTGAAATGTTTGGTGAGAGTATAATTTATTGTGTTTGCTATGTATAACTTACATCCAAATAATTATGTCTATATTTATATCATGCGAAACTAACTATTTTTTCTTACCACATCGTTTATTTATTAGTAAGTAAAGCTCTTGATATTTGAAAAGAAAAGTGAGACAATCGCCGAACCTAGTAACGAAGGCCTATAACTCAAGTGAGGGCAACAAGGTGATAGAATATTGGCAGATTTGTGGGGTCGGATCTGTTGTGGCTGAATGCTAGTTTGCCCATTCCAAGCATGGAGTTGACAAGAGTTTCATCAACGAAGGTGGATGAGACTCTCTCTCCTAAAGTGGAGGGGATTGCGTGAGACTGGTTTCACAGAGCAACGATAACCTCCCACTCTAAGCAGTGGAAGGACAACATACTAGTACCACAAGGGTCCTCGTGACTTCATATGTCGCCTTAACTAAACTATCACTTTTGTTCATACCTTTATTTTCTCTTAATTATCTTCAGGAATACACATGAATCAAATATCACATTTCCAGAACTAGTAGCGTGATCACTAAACAAGTTCAATCCTCCATCGATTTGCAAGTTTCCCATCATATATCTCCTTACATGATGGTGAAGGAATATAACAAATTAGAGTGAGCATTGGACAATTATTCTGAACAATCTCAACACTTTCTATAGTTATAATTATTCACAATCTTGGAGCATAGAAAATGCTGTGACGTTTGAATTCCAATATATTAGAAAACATATTGTATAAGATGAAGTGAAAAATTCATGTGACTATTGTGTCACATACCAACAAAAACATTTGCAAATGATCCTTAAGGAATCCTTGATGTATCATGCATGCACTCGAAAATGAAGTTTGCCACACTCCCACAAACACACAGAAATACAGAACCAGAAACACCTACTATCCCACCCTCTACCCAGTAATGACGTCTATTATGATCAATAAATGTGTTAGAAGGGAGTTGGAAATTTTGTTAGGCTAAGTGAGATGCCACTGGAGGTAGATAATGGAACCAATACTGACATAGATGATCCCAACCACAACACCCACATAAAAACCTTTGTGAAACCTCAATTTAAGAACAAAATAGGTAGCCCATAAGACCTAAATAAGCTTACATTGTTTAAAAAATTCTAAAAAATATGTATTGATCAACAAACCAATAAGTGGCAAAACATTCATGAATTTTCAAGATTTATTTAACGAGTAAGGAGCAAATTAATAAGATTTTGGAAGAAGTAGATAATTCTTTGACGGTAAATCTCTTGCCAATTCTCATACTCACCGAAGAACGATAAAGTAAATTTTGAAAATTGTACTAAGAACAATAGATAAACAATATATATAGGATTACATTAAAATGAAAAAATTGCAAAGGAAGAAAATAAACATATGAGATTAAAGAAAATATATAAAAAATGTCGAACAAGATAAGAAATATGAGTGGATCTTAGTCTTCAAGGTATATCAATGGGTTCCTTACATATATTGATTAAGAGAAAATAACATACATGATATAACTTTTGAAATTTTGGCGCAAAAATAATATATTGTGTTTACTATGCATAACTTACATACAAATTACTATGATAAAATGTATGTGTTTATATCATGCCGCACAGTGCACAGTGCAACGATACTCTCCCACTATAAGCAGTGGAAAGATAACATACTAGTACCACAATGGTCCACGTGATTTTGTATGTCGCCTTAACTAAATTATTACTTTGTTCATACCTTTATTTTCTGTTAATTATTTTTAGCAATACACATGAATCAAATATCACATTTCCATAACTAGTAACGTGATCACTAAACAAGTTCAATCCTCCATCGATTTGCATTCTTCACATCATATATCTCCTTACATAATGTTGAGGAATATAACAAATTATAGAGAGCATTGGACAATGGCCTGAACAATCTCAACACTGTTACTATAGTTATGATTATTCACTTTCTTGGAGCATAGAAAATTCTTTGAAGTTTGAAGTCAAATATATTAGAAAACATATTGTATAAGATGAATTGAAAGTCATGTGACTGGGGTTTCACATACCAACAAAATCATTTGCAGAGGATCTTTAAGGCATCCTTGATGTACAATGCATGCACTCGAAAATGAACTTGTTTGCCACAGTCCCACATACATACACAGAAACACAGAACCAGAAACACTCATGATCCCACCCTCTTCCTAGTAATGGCGTCTATTATCATCAATAAATTGGTTAGAAGGGAGTTGGCAACTTTGTTAACCTAAGAGAGATGTCACATGAGGTACATAACAGAACCAATGGTGACATACATGATCCCAACCAGAACACCCACATAAAAACCTTCGTGAAACCTCAATTTAAGAACAAAACAGGTAGCCAATAAGACATAAATTAAAAGTATGCTTACGTTGTTTAAAAAATATGTATCGATCAACAAACCAATAGGTGGAATAAAATTTAAGAATTTTCAAGATTTTTTGAATGAGGCGAATAGGAAATTAATAAGATTTTGGAAGAATTAGATAAACCTGTGACGATAGATCTCTTTACAATTCTCATTCTCACCGGAGGACGATAAACGAAATTTAAAAAATTATTCTAGGAACAATAGATAAACCATATATAAGATTACATTAAAATGAAAATATCACAAAGAAAGAAAATGAACTTATGAGACTAAAGAAAAGATATTAAAAAAATGTCAAACGGGATAAGAAATTTTAGTGCCTCTTAGTCTTCAAGATGTATCAATGGCTCCCTAGCAGAAATTGTTTCAGGGAAAATAACAGAGATGACAAAATGTTCGAAATTTTTGGTGCGAGTATAATTCATTTTGTTTACTATCTATAACTTACATCTAAATGACGATGATAAAATGTCTGTTTATATCATGCTAAAAAAACTATTTTTATTACCACATCGTTTATTTATTAGAAATTAAACCTCTTGATATTTGAAAAGAAAAGTGAGACAATTGCCGAGCCTTGTAACGAAGGCTTGTAACTCAAGTGAGGGCAACAAGGTGATAGAATATTGGCAGATTTGTGAGATCGGATTTGTTGTGGCTTAATGCTAGTTTGCCCATTCCAAGCATGGAGTTGACCTGAGTTTCATCAACGAAGGTGGACGAGACTCTCTCTCCTAAAGCGGAGGGGATTGCGTGAGACTGGTTTCACAGAGCAACGATAACCTCTCACTCTAAGTAGTGGAAGGACAACATACTAGTACCACAAGGGTCCACATGACTTCGTATGTCGCCTTAACTAAACTATCACTTTTTCATACCTTTATTTTCTCTTTTTTATCTTTCGCAATATACATAATTTGCTGAGTTTCTTCGATGAAAAAATGAAATTGTTGAATAACATCAAAAGTGATATTCAAGTCAGAAATGGTTAGCCCCTTTCTGAGGAGAAACTAGCCTTGGCAGAATGAGTGTCCTAACAAAATTATGAGTTTCATTTAAGATGAGATAATGCATGACCAAGTTTACACATACCTGCAAACATGGTGATGGAAGGAAAAAGTTTCATTGATGCTGGATTAGCAGAAGTCGTGAAAAACAACAGGGACAAAATTACTTCACCACAAATCAAGAAAAGGGCGACGAGCCGACGATGGACAAGTTTTCACCCCTATCAAATATGGGAACTCTTTCTTATTGGAACTGAGAAAATCATTACCACAAATCCAAACAACCCTTGAGTTCCAAACAAAATATGACGAGAATAAAAAACAATACATGATGGAAAAGGTCTTAAGATTCAAATTTCTTAAGGCATGTGCAGAAATAATCATTGCCAAGGCAGATGATCTAGTGGTACTTAAGTCGTGAAAAGTCTTTATGGTTCCCCGAACCAAAGTCATCTGTTATATGGACTCTGAAATGGTGAAGATTGGAAAGGAAGAAATAATGGACCTCCTGCTAGAATTTGGGATAGAGATTCTACTCTCAACTTTCATCCAAAAACAAATTGCTGTGTGGACGAATGCCAGAAAAAAATGCTAAAGAACATCTTTTCAAAAAGGTACAGACACTATTGAACAATAACATGCGTAGATCGTCCCCATAAAATAACATGTAGCACGCGTCAAGTCCTTCATATATGTTCAGAGGAATCTAAATAATGTGAGTGTAGTATATTATGAGACGGCAAACAATACGAGAGGTACCAACTGTATACCTTGTACATTGTTTATTTCTCTAGTTTTAGGAGGGAGTCTTGTAAAGAAGAACAGAGAACGAACAAAGGTCGAGAAGAGAGTATTATGTAATTTTCTTCTCTGTTTAAATCTTAATCTCAATAATCATGTCATCTCCCTCGCTGCAAAATTACATTTTCAATGAACAATTAACTCTTTAGATTTTCAATAATCATGTCATCTCCCTCCCTACTTTAGTGAAGGAAATGCACCCACCAAGTTCAATTGCTCTCCCAAACCAAATTACCAAACATGGCATGCAATCCCTTGCAGGAGAGAATAGATTACATACTGAGGTACCCAGCTCGACTTATGCCATTAGCAGTCCATGACTCAAGGGAAACCCTCAAAATCAAAAACACCGAGCAAACAAAACATGCTTGGATATGTTTCTATTCCCCCTGGGCCAATATAAAACACAAAACAAACACATTTGCCCATCCATCCACCCTTGTAACTAAGCAGCTACTGAATATTTGTAAGCTAAACAGGGGAGGAAGCGTTTACCAGACACAGCATCTAACAGTTATGGTACAAGAACAGAAAGTTGAATCAAGCCAGTTACATCTATGTGGGAAAATTTGCACAATACCACCATCAACGACCCCTACCACCCACTACAAATTCTGCTTAAAGGTGGACATTAAAGTGGGTCCTATTACTTTAAACGATATTTATACACAGAATATGGTCATGTTACTATCTCCTGGTGCTAAATGGCCTTGCAGAGGCTTTCCTCACTTCTGTCGGTCTCTCTAACGAGCCTTTTCAATAAGCTTACTGTCTAGGTACTGGAGGTGTAGTTGCCTGGTGCATTTGACCATAGAACCCCCCTATCCCCGGTGGCCTATAGTATCCTCCACTTGTTGCTGGTGTCTGCTGCTGTTGTTGCTGGTGTTGTTGTTGCTGTGGTGGCTCCAGAGGCTGCAATTGCTGCTGTGAGGTAGGCTGCCACGCCAAGCTGCTTAACTCAAAATTTGGAGGCGGCATAGGGGGTGGAGGAGGAAAGTTGCTACTAGCTCCGTACCCATAAGGTGGCATCATGCTAGCAGCCATCATACCACCAGGCTGCTGCATGTATTGGTTTGCTGGTGTGCTAGTTTGGGACATTGGAGGCGGAGGAGGTGGGAATGGTGGCTGCAAAGAGCCAAATGAAGCCGCTTGTATCTGGTTGGTTGAAGCCACAGAGGAGAAAAAGGCCGCCATATTGTTGTTTGAATCGGTCTCAGATGTCCGTTGCTCTAATCTAGGCCGTTTCTCTGGGGGGAAAACATCAGCAAATCCTGCTGAATTGAAGGTCCCATTTAATTCTTCAGCAACAAGGGATGAGAGGACGGATGTTAGCATTTGTGCTGATGATGAGGAGGCGGAGAGTTTAGCAGCAACAGCTGCGGCAGCTGCTTTCTTGCTTTCTTCATCAGCAGCAGCAGGAGGTTGGAGAGGCGCAGCAAAGGAAACTGCTGCTGCAGACTGTGAGACTGGAGTAGCCTGAGGTGGAGGCGGGGTGCTTGTTGTTGTTGTTGGCCGTCCTGGTGAAGAAGAAATGAGTTCAACTCCTCTTGTTCCATCTGATGCTGAGGTGGTGGTTGTAGCTGATGGGCCGGGTACAAATACAGTTGCTAACCTCTTCCTTAAATTGCTAGATTGTTCGATGTGACCTCTCACGACCTGTAAAGAAAAGCATATCAGCCTCAACCATTACTATACAGAAGAGTGCCACAAAGTAGCAGCAGGGCAAGAATGTCATTGGTATATTATATTGAAATCGGTGGACAGTGAGCATAGAGGGGCTGTTTGGGTGATGCTGGGTTTAATGGCATCAATACGGCCCCACAGATATGGAAAACCTTCTCCCGCATGTGGGTTGTTTGAAATCCATCCACCCTAATGTCTGATTGTCATTTTACCAACTTTTATTGATCCGGGGGAAGATGAGTGCCAAGTATATTAGTTGTTATTATGACCAATTTGCACTTCAGTATGTAGATAAAGGATGGAAAAAATGACTTTCATGACTGACCAGCACAGACGAAGAACTTATCAGAGTAAATTATCTGTTTGAACTAAAAGCTAGTTGTATGCCCGTTTTGTTTTAACCAAGGTCCAAAAATAAATTAACGAGATCATCTCAAAACTTATACTAGAAGCTATAGCAAGACCTCGTGAAAGTTCTCTATCCTCATTATGGCAGTAGCTTTCTCTACCAGCTGTTACTTTACACTACCAAGCTTAAGTTTAAACAAATTCTACTGCATTCTATACGCATATCAGCTGTCAACGCACCATGTCAAGTCATGTATAGATTACCTCAAACATAGCTCTAAAATAATAAATAATAAATATCAAGCTATTTGATGACATGAGTCATTTTGGATGCGAATGCCAAGAAGAGCAGATAATGCTAATTAACCTGCAATGGCAGAGACTACTGACCCTCTTCTTGTTTGTTCCTAGAAGTCTAGCCGTCTGTTCCTAGACTCCTGACGCTGTTCTTCTTGTTTCGCATCCATCCATGGAGGGATACAATTTTCAGGGATCACTCTAGGGTTTTTCTCTCTTACTATAGCTAACACTACAGAAGTGGAGTCTCAACTTATATAGTCCTGATCTCTATGGATGGACGTGAAAATGATTTTGGGAATGACCATTGCGTCAGCCAATCACTAAAAGAAACTAACTAAACGCTTCTACCAACAGAAACCATAATGGCCAGGCGAACATAACATTCAGATGCTGCTAAACAGGCAAGATTCAAAACTAAATAGGTAGCCGCTAATGGGATAATTCAAATTTCAAAGACTTGGGAGGTTGAGAATAAAAAAAGACTAAACAGATGGAAACCTTGTTATCCAAGATTAAATTGTGGGGTCAAAGAGAGTAAGATAGAAAATAGTACTCTCAATATCCAGTGTTTACCATGTACAGGTAAACATTGAAACTAGAATGAGAGGACTATGTTAGTGACCTTAATTTAACGGAGAAGTGCAGGAATTCTTACTTGTAACTGTGAATGAACGATGTCAAACTTCGACTCCTGAAATGTGCAAGGTAACTTAGAATGAAATTCATATCATAACATTGATGAAGACTTAAAATTGAAATTCTTACAGACTTACTTGTTCTTTAAGTGCTTCTTTAAGCTGTGAAATCAAAGTCGAATGTAAATTTTCAGCAGTTTCAAGCTGGCCAGCACACTGCTGAAGGACATTTTCCTGCACCTGTAACTCATCCATCAACGCGGAACCAGGCTGATTTCCTGAGAAACCGTGAATGGACAAAGGTTCAATATGAGCAAACTTAGTAAATTATTTTCCTGAAGATAATGCAGTGAGTAAATGTAAACAGTTCTAGGAGGCAGTAATAGCTTATTTTCGTCAAGTGAAAAATTAACAGAAACAATAATTCCCAGTTCACCAAGGGCCAAGGCACTTGGAGGTTTAACAAAGCTTCACAAAATTCTAAAGCCACTGCAATTTTCCAGCGTAGATACCACAATGAGAAAATGAATGTTGACAATTTCCTCATATCCTTAAAAAGGATAATTCTACCAATGAGCCATCAGCGCGAACATAAAATTAGAACACAGCAACTAATCAGAAAACACTATCAAAGCATAGTTCCATTAAAAATAAATTAAAAATACTAATCAATACTGACATCTAATGTCTTCAATTCAATTATTGTTTTAATTCATTGATACATCATATAATATATGTACAACCCCTGAAACAAACTTGTAGCTTATGAAGGAGGTAAGTATAACAAGTGATCTACCCTAACTAAGCCCAAACAACTTCCCAAATGGGAAGGATGCAAATTCTTCAGTTTAAACTCGAACAAAATCGTTCAAAAAAAAATGTACCTTCTGGAAGTATAATTATCAGCCAATCAGTAAATAGCTAGAAAGATACTATTGCATGGCATTATTCTTTGTAGCAACATCACTGTGATATCATGATCAAACTCCTTGAGACATCATTCAAATAAACTTAACTACTTGTGTACAGTGACGAGTTAAACCAAGCAAACACTACACACATGAACCTGTAGAATCTTATTATCAAAGAATCTGAAGGCCAATGCCTACCTGCAATTGATGTACTTTCTACGTCTTCTCTGATTTTACCCAAATGAGATACAGTAGTACTACTCTTATCCAGTGCAGCTTCCTCAGTTTGATTTTCATCAAGAACAGATTGAAATGCAGTCAATATCTTCTCCGGTGTACATCCCACCATCAGTTTCTGATTTTAAAATACCCAAAAAGATGAATATCCAAACACACAATTTCAACAAGATTTATGTAGGCAACAGAAACAATTTACGCAATTGTTAACACTTGATAAAGGACTGGGAAAATGCTTACAATTCTTAACGAGCTAGCATCCCTTTTCACTATCTTGATAGGGTTTGAGATCTGGTTCGAGCTCTTTCCATTGCTCACTACTGGAGGAAGAGGAACTTTACCAAGCATTTCATCCTTCAGATTTTGGGCGCGCGAACCAAACACCTTCCTTTCTTCCCAAATGTTGACCTGCAACAAAAGAGAGCAAAACATAAATAGGATTTCAAAGTTGCAAAAAATAAAATTATAAGAATAGGACACATAATTGATCACAAATTTCATATTGTTTATGAACCACATGGATGTACAATCAAATTTCACAAAGACACGTTAGATGAAGAACTTCCATTTTACAACTCAACCTTCATCTGGTAGGCAGAAAGAATAACAATAAAACACAGCATTTACAAAAAAAAAAAAAAAACAACGTATTCAGACTCATAGCATTGGCACCACAGAGCACACTGAAGTAAATAAGTTAGATAAAAGTAGAGAGGAGGTTCACAACAGAAAGCAAGGCAGATATCCAAACAGCCCAATATACAGAAACACAGAGATACTTTCGTTAGCCATTGGATTCTAACAGAATATCATACTTTAAACTCTGAACTATTTGAGCAAACAAATGAAAGCGATCAAAATACGAGAAGACATATACCCTCGGGCATATTGATTATCCCAACTCCACAACCCACCACCATCAACATATAGGACACAAGCAACCATAGCGACATACACAAACGAATCATAGACAAGGTGAAGAAATTAATCAATTACTGGTCATTCAGCACAGTGAAAGAAATGGCCACAAAAGAAGCAAAGCCCAACCAATAATACTCACCAATCTGGCTACTACTTTCTTTGCATGCTCATCTCCACTTTCATAGACAACTTTGAGTTCTTTAGGAAGAACTTTCCAGAACTCATTAACAAATTCACTGCCTTTGCGCTTACTGTTTTGCAAGATGTCATTTGCCAAGTATAGGAATGTGACACGCTGCTCTCTCTGTGACGAGGTAAAGTACTGATTCCATGTTTCAACAACCTGTCTTGCCTTTTTCCGATGTGATACACACCAGCGTGACAATGCTAATCTAACAGTTAAAGTAACATATTACTGTGAAAAGGGTATAGTATTTTAGAGATAAGGCTAGGCCATGCTGCTTTCCCATGACTTGAGCATCGAAAATAATAATATTCTTCTACTAGACTAATCCCGTCAAGATTTTCACATCCCTCCTGCGGCAGAAGCCCTACAACAGAGTAGGGGCTGTGCTCTGCCGGACTATGTCAAATTGATTTGTTATCATGCATACGAAAACATTGCGCGGGTAGGTCTGCATATGGGTGATTGGATAAAACAAACTACGAATCAGAGGGGAGAACCCTAAAATCCCAAGGTGAAGCAGTGAAGTACCCAACATCCTCTGTTATGCGGAAAACAAATATGAAAAGAAGCACTTGAGCATCCAACTTATGGCCCATGTAAAAAATGCAAAACATCAATTAGTGAATTAGTGTTAGTGTCTAGAGCTAAAAGAGGCGTACCGGGTTTATTTTTAGCTAAAGAAAAGTTTACTCCATAGCTCAAACAAACACACTTCTTGAAATAACTATTCACCCTATACTACAAATTGTCGAAGTCTAGTAGTCAACTAAACTGTAATACATACTTCCTACTTCACCTCATCGAAATAAGAAAAACTTTTCTTAAAGTTATATCCAAATTAGTCATTTATGAAAATGTATTCATTTTTTTTTGTTTTTTGTTTTACCATAGATATTCGTTCTTGTCTCATCCAACAAACTATGTTTTGGAAGTTTTATTACAAGGAAACCATTAACATCACACTACTTACTTTATTAGTACCAAAAAAAAAACCCATCCCATCCCATCAGCTTAACTTTTTCTAAACCCATACATACCCACAAATACACTTTTCTTCAATTTTACTACAACTACAAAAGAAGTCTACTTTTGTAGTGAAGACTAAAACAAAAACAGCCATAAAAAGGTCATAACTGTATCAATCGTAGATTGGACTGCAATTTTAATATCCAGACATATTTAGCATTAATGACTCCACGTTAGATTCTTGCATAATAAAATTTATGGAACAACTAATACTCGGAGAAAAGTCCACAATCAAATATTTGGAACCAAATAACTAATCTCCAATTTCAATATTTATTTATGAAAATTAAATACTAAGAAGAAAGCTATGTTTTCCAATTGAGATTTAAAGTATATCAAAGATCATGAGACTGAATATGGATACACTCAATGCTTTGTTGAGAACTGTTCAGCTTTGCCAACTTGTCCGATAGTACCTGTCCATCAAACACGTCACCGCTCATCCTGCTATTATCCGAGCTTGTATAAACGCATGAAAAGACTCCTGCAGAATCAGCATTGCGTTTATTTTAAATACTTTTTCTTTCAAAAAGACAAAGCAGACAGAGAGTTAACATAAACAACTGGAGAACTAAGCTCATAATACAAGTGAATACATATACTTTTCCTCACATTGCGCCTTGCTAAATCACACCACCAGACAGAAATCTAGAAGGGGCAGCCAGAGAAAAAGAAACAGAGAGACGGGGAGGATTAAGTCGACATCAAGACATGCGAACTGCGCTACACAGTGTACACATATTTACTATGCATATTAACAAACCACCTAATGTTCTCAAAACATTATCTGCTCATTCTCAAACAATCCAGCATCACACCCCATCATTACCCCCGTAAATGACCTAGTAATAAATCCATAAACATTCAGCAACAAGGGGGATGACATCAAACGGTGTCTTTCAGATTTCCTAATCATCATTGGCTATGAAAAGCAAGAGCAACAAAACCCTACACAGCTCTCCTATTCCGACTTCCCCAGAGCCCCCGGTAGCACAGCTGAGAAACACCGCAAAATCAACATTTTTGCAGAAAGGAAGTCCAGACTACAGTAGAATCCCCATTATTTAGCAGCGAACAAGAAGTCATACGAATGTCAAGTTATCAAAACATCAATCGATAGACTAGTACTTCCAAAATTCTAAGGTTAACAGCCGCAGCCCAACAAAGAAAACCAACACAGTCACAAGCAGTTCGAAGTATTACTGGGCTCTAAAAACAGCTATCCATAAACACAATCTAGCATGAAAAGATAATTTTTTTCATAGTTCCTCCTACTCTTTGGCAATAAAACCTAGTAAAGAATTAGTCAAAAGATATAGATTGAGGCAGCTAAACTCAGCATACTCATTTTCAATCCGACAGAGCTACTTATCGACAGAACAAACCAAGCATGGAGAAGGGTAAAACTTCTCGAGGAAGAAGAAGAAGAAGAAGAAGAAGAAGAAGAAGAAGAAGAAGAAGAAGAAGAAAGAGAAGAAGGAAACAGCAGAACTGGGGTGAAGACGGTAGAGAGCCAGTAGAGAGTGCGGTGGGAACAAGAGGGGTAAGGAGGAGACTAAGAGAGAGAAAACGGTAACCTGGTGGAGAAAGAGAGTCGGCACCGTCGCCGCAGCTACCCGCCGGCCGGTTTCCGCCTTCGCGACCTTAGAGAGAGAGGCTCTCCTCCTGGGGATTTGCAAACAATTGAGTTTCCCTTTAGACAAGACAACGCAACACAAAAACAAACGAAACGATTCGGGTCCTGTTTCTGTTTCTGTTGCCTCACCCCGTTTCACAAAAAGCCATAATCGCCTGCAACAGATTTTACAATACACGTAAGCGTACCACCATTGATCAAATACCGACAAAAGGGAAATCACACCCCCTCCATCCAACGGTGTAGAAAATGTTTTATCCACCACGACGCGACTCCTCCGCGCGTGAGCCCTGAAAAATCGCCAACCCCATCTGACGAGAATGGATAAATGGCCCACAGAATGGAGGTGTGGGTGAAAACTGAAAAAACATTTCGCGATAGTAATGGGCTTGTGTGAAGTTCATGTTTTCAGCTGAGCAGTTAATGGGCCTTTTTTTTTGGGTCCAGTGAACTCCAAACCTTTAGGATTTACACAAAATGATAAATTGAAGGGTACAATCAGATGAACAATGATCAATCAATCCACACAGAAACACACACAGACAGACAAGGTTCACGATGTTACAGTTTTCCAGCTAAGAGCTCGAATCAGAATGAACTGTCATTCGATGGATTTGTATTCGTGAAGCATAATGCTCTCAGAGAAGACGAACTTCTTTGAAGCACCGAAGACGTTGGCCAACTGCAAGATCAAAGTCTGAGGTTGGACGGCAGTGGGAAGGAATGCGGGTGGAAGAGAAGGCAAGCATTCAGGATGAAGCTCCTTCTTGCCAAACGATGTTCCATAGAGCGTTAAGGCAGCGCGGCAAAACAAAAATCTGCCACAAAGGGAAGCAGTCAGTTAAACTAGAATCATGGTATTTGGAAGGCTGCGGCGAGAGCTTACATCCGCATTTCACTAAACATGGAATTCAATCAATTCATTCCAGTAATAATGGATCGATTTCAGTCTGATGTACATGTTGAAGAATGAAGATATGCTGTGGAGACAAATCAAATGAGGGTCATAGAACTTATATGTTTGTTATTCTTTGCTGAAACTTGCATATTCATTGCTACAACCTGCATAGTTTTCACCTACAGATTGCAGAAGCCGAAAGGCCAAGAAACCTAACCAGAATATAACCATACCTCAAAACAAGTCGCCTAAGGAATGGATCGCCAAGCACCTGTGCCCAAACAGGGTCAAGAGGTTCTGACATCACTAAAGAAGCTCCCCAGTCATTTAATGATGAAGACAGCAACTTCTCAGCCCGGTTGAATGTCTCCTGCAAACAAGCTACCTTGTTCAGCATTATTCCCTACAAGCTACAGCAAGAAGTGAGCAATGTCCAAAGCTAATTTTACCATTTCAATATCGGGCCCAGATAAACCAAGTAACAAACAGAAGCCTTGCAGTGGAGCTGTGAGGAAAATGGTGAACAGACTACCACTTTCACGACGAGAAGTATCAGTTGAAGTGCTTAGAATTGAACTACTTGGGGATAGAAATACTGCAGCCGGCTCTCCTTTTTCACCTCCATTTATAGCCTGATGTAAAGAAAAATCAGTAAATATCATTTTTCACATTTTATATAAATGGCATAACATTGATATGGGAAGACATCATTTCATTATCCGGAACTCAGAAAGATAGACAGTTCCACAGATTATCTAACCGTCAGTCAAATGGTAAATCTTTTTGCTACTGAATGCACAGATTACAACATCATGCATAAACCCAAACTAGACCTAAGATTACAAATTGTGATTGCACATTTGAGATACACACACTTACCTTAAATGCGTCACTGCCATCACTGTCAACAATGATAAAAAGTGGTCGCCTTGTGAATGGAATCAAGTCAGAAGGGTATACATTGTTTTGCCCTGGCGAAAAGGTTAATCACAATAAGATAACAATATAAAAGAAAAAACCTTAACAGCAATGGACATCAAGGTCAAACCCACTGTGACGCATAGATGCAAGACACTGCCTTGATTACATTTACAGCCAATTTACTGATCATAAAACATTCATAAGGATATCAATATCAAAACAAAAAAGAAGAAAAATACAGAAAAAGTAGGATATCTGTATATCCGTCACCCATCAACCACAGATCACATGCTTACGCCTATAATCGACCATAAGAAAATGTAAGAAAATGTGTACTATGAACAAGAACAAACTAGTCAATTTGAAGGGGACAAGAATCCAGACTAGCTAGCTCGAAGAATCAGAGAGCACGGAAGATACCTCCATTAGTATGAGTACCAAAATTCAAACAATCCTTTTTACTCCTCCTAGAAGTTGGACTAGCATTATTATTCAGGCAGTCTGAAGACGACATAGATGCGGCATCTGAATCTATGCCGTGAGATTGCAAGCTCTTTCCCAAGCTTCCTACACTGTTTATAGAAGCTCGAGATTCTGTAGTAGATGAAATGGTATTTCCGATTCTTCCTGGACATGTAAGAGATAAAAGAGGTAAACCAGCCATGTAGTGTACTGTAGACATGGACATGAATGAAAAGGTCATATTCACCACCAAAATAATTTAAATAAGGTACCTGAAGCTGACAAATAGATTAGAAGAACTCCATCAGGCTTTAGCTCCTCGCATAGAGTACCAAGAACCTGTGCAGATATTACGAGACTATACATAAATTGAGAGACATAAGGCAAAAGCCTCGCTAGGGAATCCACCTTACATTAATCACTGAAACCTCACCAATAGGCTACTTATTTCGGTATGAACTTCGGATGACGAATTTTTAAATTTTGATAGTGGAAGGTTAAGCCTTAGATTTGAAGCTAAGGTTCATAAAATTATCTATACTTTAGGTCAATATTTTTGTCAAACTTTAAGATCCCCAAAAGAAATATAATGCCCATATGTCTTAGTTTAGGACAGCGGCAAGGAGCAACATTAAGTGTGTAATATCTTTCAGATGACCACCAAAACCCAAAATCTTAACACAAGTACATAAATGCCAGACATGAAGATTTATCATCAGCAAAGCTAGGTAAGAATGTAGTTCCAGTTCATACACAAGCATACATGCACAACTTCCATACCTATATCAATACATATCAAGAAATTAAACTTATAATAATCACCAAAAACCACTGTGTAAACAATACAGTTAATAAATGCATACTTATGGACTGGTAAATGATTCAACAAGTCCAACCAGGTAATAAAATCACATATCAAGATAGTAAGTCACACTTACTGCTAACAAATGAGTCATGGAAGGACGATATAGCACAACTTTCCATGGGTTGGGAGGTAAAGTAGGATCAGATATATCCTGGGCATAGTTAACTCGACTAGGGCCTGGAACTCCATTTTGGCCAAGTTTAGGGTTATGTGTTTTGTAAAATGCACCACTTGGTTCCCACTCCAGGCACTGAAGCATCCTAAACGTGTCCAGAGTAAGCTCGGAAAACTTGACCTGGTCATTTTATATATGAAAAGATGTCATTACAGTATAGAAAATAAAAGAGAACTCTATAAGCAGAGGGCAGATTCTCTAGTTCAATTTACAGTAAAAGACAGTGGCGAACGGAAACCTTATTACGTAACCTCATTATGATGGTAGCTGCTCAGAACTGCATCTCGTAATCTCAAGTGTCTCTTTGTCTTAGCACATGGTAGTGAATCTGGATTAGGGTCCAGCACAAGGCTGTACCTCAATGGCCTGATATTCATAAATGTTGTGTCAGCTTTCAAAAATCTAATTATTTCCTGAACCACCAGCTTCCATTCTTTAAAGTCAGTTTCCTGGAAACAAGATAATTCATGCATCATGTAATTGTCATTACCCAGTACTGAATCAAACCACAGTTATACAAAAGTAATTCAATGTAATGAAAAACAAAAACAGAAATCAAAGGGCAATATGACCATAAACTTGAGAAGAATCAAAAATATTATTATTCTGCATGCATATCTTATTAGTGAGCTATCAGCATTGAACGAGAGCAAGATGCTTGTACTGGCCTAAAAAATGAACCCTATATAAGTGCGTGTGAACCAAAAGCTCTTTTCCCTAACCAATCACCCAAGTTAAACTCGGTAACTAATACATCTTCTAATGTGCATTCAAGATTTTTTCCTCAACTATTTCCCATGTCTGTACCTTCCCAAGTAAGAACAGCAGGATAAGTAAACAAATTATACGGCACCAAACACAGATACATAGGAACCATAATCAGCAAACAGATATATAAGAACAAATCAAACGGATGTTCTTAGAGAAGATAAGAAAGAGTAAAGACCTGGTATGTCCTTCGGCACTCATCAACTAAAACTTTAAGCTGATTAACCAGCTGATGAACAACATCTCGACGGTTAAGCACCAAACACACCATCAGAAACCTAGCGAGAAACCTCAGCTGCTTGTTCGCAAGATTGAGATCCTGCAACAAGCCTTCCTTGAAATATTCCCTCGTAAGTATTGCATCATAGAATACATACGATTCGGTCAAGTAACTTGCATCACTCGTCCGCATATACTGTCCATAATAGAGCTGAGCGATGCGAGATGCAATCTCGCCAATCTCCCATCTCTTGAGACCAGATTCTACCAACTTCTGCCGATTCTCTTGCTGAAACTTCCACAACTGTGTGTACACCTTGAATACCTTGAAGAAGTATTCATACCTACAAACAGGACCAGCGTCAACTGTTAGTAGCTATTCTACTAAATACTAGTAACACGCAGCTCAACCAGTTCAAAAATCAGTACAACACCTCTGAATATATCATTAATTATCAACTACTTGACCGCTGTACGGATTGGCGTAAGCAAAACCATATTCACCGCAAATTTTTGGAGAGCCAATTTGAATTACGAAGAAAACCTCAAGCTCGACGAACAATTCGAAAATTTCCTCTCATCACAGAGCACAAGCACAATTGGGGGAAGCTGGCATAACGAAACGAGGGAACGGGGAAGAAACGAGAAAGGAGAATACCTGCTGCGCTCGTGGTAAGGCAAGTCTCTGATCTTGGAGAACTTCTTATCAGCTTTTTCAACCAGCGCCCAAAACACTTCAGTCACAGGAATATCTTTGTTTGGTTCCGCCATTTCCCCAATTCTTTTGTCGATTCCTCTTTCTTTACCCGATTCGCCCAGAGAACTCCATGTGATCCAATTCCAGAATTAATTAGAGATGTAGAGGAACAACGGCGAGGGGAATTGGTGCGATTTGTGATGGAGCGAGCTGGAGACCACCGGCGAACCGCGAGACTATAATTCCTTTGCAACTGTATGACTTTGGTTGAAAAGAAAGTTGGGAGGACAAGAAAGGAGAATGGGAAGAAACGAAAGTAAAAGCCCCTCGAACCTGATGACGTCACAGTCACCGAACTAAAGGTAGTGGAGTGGAGACTTTTTTTTCTATCACAACTTATCAAATCAAGTGAAAGTTAAGGGTCTCAATTGATAAATGTTGAAATATTTGTGTGCTGAATTGTACTTTTCCAAAGGGAAAAAAAAAGCCGATGGAGAAGAATTAGGTGGGGAGGGAGGGAAACGCCGGCGCACTGAAAAGATCCAGAACTGTTCAGTGCTCTGACTTCTCACCGATCTATAGATTCAAGAAGCCGAGCTCCTATACCAACTGTCACAACGGTCAAAACTGGTGTGATTTTGATTTCCGGGGAGAGCAAGAATGGCGTCGAAGCAAATGGAAGAGATACAGAAGAAGTTAGCCGTTCTCAATTATCCGCGAGCAGACGCTCCTGCTCAGTCTCTCCTCTTCGCGGGCATGGAGCGCTATGCTCTCCTCGAATGGCTTTTCTTCAAGTATCTTTCTCCCAGCCTCAATCACTTCACTATCTGTTTGATAATGTACTAGGATCGGACTTCAATTCCCCCCAATTCCGTGTTAGTTTATCCATTCAAGTTCGAACCTTTGACGAAGCGATGATTTCAGAAAGGACTTGTCAATCTCAATCTCTCTCTTGTTTTGCTCCTAGGAAGGTCTTAGATTTGGGAATTTGGTTTTCTGATAGTGCTAACTCAAATGAATCGTGGGGGGTACAACAAGGATGATCAACTATGAAAAGCTTTGGCTCCCAGGCCTGTTTGTTCCTCCTGCATTGTTGGACATCCAAATCAAATTTGAAGTTTTTAGCTTGTTCGTTTGTTGATTTCTCAATTACAGAGAGCCACTAAGGATCACATTTTGGTTTTCAATCAGAGCTTTCATAGATGACTTGGTAGTGCCAATTAACAATGAAGTTGGGATACTTTGGATGTGCAGATTGTTGGGTGACAAATCACCGTTCTCTCAACAAAATCTCCAAGGGGATGCCATGGATCGGGATGAAGAAACTTCTAGAATACAGTGTTAGTATTGTTCTTCCGGCTCCACTTTGCTTTGCCTACTTTCTCAGCATCATGCTCATGTCCAACCTTCAAAGGTGGAGAATGTTAGGGGTTCTTCACATTCCTAAGCACAATTCACATGTAACTACTAATTTATTCTGTACGCTATCGAGCGGCTTGCTCAGAAATCATTTCGTTTATAATTTCTCGGATACGTGGGTCACAGAGAATAAACAGTGACTGCTCATGCTTCCTGAGAAGCTGTATCGTCATTGAATTTTGTTTCTTGTATTCTGTGGTTTTTAAAATTGGCCATCAATGCCTTCTATTTTCTTCTCCCTGGATTTCTGTGTCAATTCTAGACTTTGTTTCCTTGGAATAATTTTGAGTGGTAGTAATCAGTGAGTTATTTACCCATTGTACACAGATCTGGCAGAGATAGCCAAGTTCCTGGGAATCATGCCAACTATAGATACTGAAACCATCCAAGTAAGTTGCAGAATAGATGCAATGTATATGTATGCATCTGTTGCAACTTGCGAAATATACTGTACCTAGAATCAACTTATCATGGGTATACTTAAGGTTGGCCCTTCCCTTAAATAACAGCAGTTTGAGGTGAATTCTTTCAGGGACGAGGAAGCTATGAAGATCGAACTGAAATGCTACGTTTAATAGTGGATCTTGTTGAGGCTAGCATTTATGCTGATAATCCAGAGTGGAGGTAAAGTTTATTTCTTTTCTTCATCGCATCCATCCTCTTGAAATATGCATTAGTTGCTTTTATTTATCTTGTTATGTTTCCATCTGTAACTTGACTTTCATGGCTATGCAGCATTGATGAACAGGTAGCAAAGGATATACAACTAATAGATTCCATTGCAGAGAAACAAGCTCTCATATTCTCAGAGGAGTGCAAGTTGTTCCCTGCAGATGTCCAGATTCAATCCATATATCCACTGTACGCATAGCTTTCTCTGTTCCATTTTCTGTTGTATCCAGCTATCTGCATCACACGATACCTCATCTTGAAACCATAGTAAGGCACTTCAAATATCTTATTAATTTTCAAGTCTGGAGAATCTCGCCAGTCTTGCACTTTATTATGTTCAAAACCATGAACAAATTTTGATTTCTGGCTATGTGCTTAAAGACTTCCATAGATGTAGAAGCATTCAGCCGTTCCTTGTAGGACCCTAACATCTATTGCAATACTGTTGCATGATTTACGCTCGAATCCCATTGAGATCATCATTTGCATAAATTAGTTGAGTAATGAACTGCTTCCATTTCATGAGATGCGGTAACATTAGCTTCATCTTTTGAAAGTACATGTGCAGGCCTGATGTATCAGAGCTGGAGAGTAAGCTTTCGGAGCAATCAAAAATTCTCCTAAATCTTCAGCAGAAAGTTGATGATTTGGCATCAAAGGTTAATCCCAGCTCCTCGGTATCTTTTCCATACAGTCTATCTTTAAGATGCAAGATCATTAAGCATCCCAAGATGTGTTGGGCCATCTTGCGGTAGTTGATAACTCTGGTTGCAAAGACATTTATTGTAACATTAATTTTGGTGAATGGAACTTTTGTTCTCCAATATTTCTTGCGGTAGTTGATAACTCTATTTTCTCTGATTTATTCACTCGCAACTTCATTCATTTTATCCCTCACGTCCTTGAAGACTTGTTTACAAACGGTATTGTTCTCTTTTAGCATGCTTACAATCCAGGTGAAGAGTATACACAGGTGGAATCCCAACTTCGGCAGCACTTAGAGTCCTTCTTAGAAACTGCAAGATCATTCAACACGATCTATATAAAGGTCTGGATTTACTGCGAGAGACAATGTTGCATCACTCTTCTACATAAAATATCTTTGGGTGATCTTCTAGTTATGATTCTGTTTTCTGTAGGAGATTCGCCCATGGACACATATGATGGAAGTGCCTCAGCTCCATGGATTTGGGCCAGCTGCTAACAGGTTGTTGGAGGCATACAAGATGCTTCTGAAGGTAATACCATGAACTGGCCCTTGCCATCCATTGATTTCTGTTAAGCAAACCTGATTGTCAATCAACCAAAACCGGCTTGTGGGGGTGGGAGGTGAAACTGCGACAAAGAAAGTTGGAATCCAGGTTAATCAGAAAACCCCAAAAGCGGATTCCCACCCCTACCTGGTTGGTGGCAATTTTGGTTGATTTGGGAAGCCTCCTCTAGTCTGTTCGGACAAATAGAATTTTACACTACTCAAACTTCACACATTATTATGTGTTGGCAGTTCCTGGGCAACCTGAGGAACCTTAGGGATTCATACGCAGCACTCGCTGTTGGTTCGTCAGAAACTGTGGCGGGTGAACCGTCTTCAGTCACAAACATCATATCAGAGTGCGAGTCGGCATTGACATTCTTGAATCACGATCTTGCGATCCTGTCAGCTTCCATTAATCGCGAGAAAGGTGGCAATTCAACTCCTTGAGCGACAAGAAGAAGCAAGAACGTAAGAGTTCAAAACATTTGTTGAGTGCTTGAGAACCAACCAGGTTGGCAGGCAGACCCTTGCGCGAAGAGAAGCGAAACCTGCAGTGGCTGAATTCTCTGATTTTCTCATGTATTTTGTGCTATTGGTCCTTGTACTTGTTCAGTAGAAACCAAGTGGAGATTGGTGCATGAGTGTGTTTTGGTCTATGGCTTCTTGGGTTTGGGTGTGTTCTTTTGTAATGAACTGACCAGTGTTGCTTTGGTGGCACCGTAACATATCACATTGAGTTTCATTTCGGGTAACTACAAAATCGGCTTCCCAATAGATTAAATTGAAATTAAACTATATCCATATTCCGAAGTCTTAAAGAATTGTTGATTAATCATTGAACTTGACAAATACATTAAACTCATGATATAATAAAATTAGTATACTCGAGTTGTTTTCCCCCCCAAGATCTGTTAGTAATCAAGCAAATCAAATCACCAGATTGACTCCGACCACGCGTGACAGCTCGGTAAGCAATCGAACTATCAATGAAAGTGGTAGTTTTGCCACAACATGAAAAACTATATTAAACTTTTAAGAAGTCAAATGAGATGCTACGGACTCAAATGATGAATAAAGAAGGCGGACTTCCTCCAAGATAGCTCCGCAAAAGGAGTGAGATGCTTCCTTGGACAAAACATGTATGGTGGCCAATTGTGGGTCGTCACAAAATGTAACAACCAAAAAATTATGTATTAAACACAATTTCATAGCATCTCGTAGAGCGAGTAACTCTCCAACAAAGTCATTTGAGATACGATCACAGAATTTAATGAAAGCAAATAATATGGAATTATGTATCCATCACTTGATAGGCCTATGAAACATGTGGAACTTCCTTGGTTGGTCTTTAGAGCCCGATCAAAATGTACTAGGATGCCCTGAATAGGGCATGTGACATCCTGATTGTGTCTCTAGGTATTTTGGTTTAAGGGTACATTGACTGGCATGAGTTGTCTTCCTTCCTTCTTCCGAGCCTTTTGTCTTTCTATGACTCTATCGTCATTCATTCATCTACCTAGTTTATCAATTGATGAAAAACATTAGACTTGGAATAAAGTGAAATCATAGGTGGCTTTGCATCGACTTTCCGTATGCCACAGATTAGGAAAACTGCATCAGCTACGATTGTCATGTAAATTTTGAAGAGAAAGGAACAATTATTTTCATGCTAGGTCCGTTGGAAGCATTCTCATGGCTGGCCTTTGTTGTTCTCATCCTAATGTTTGCCATAATTCGTTAGTAATGTCACATTCAAAGAAACAATGAGTCAATATCTTCTACTAGATCATAGCGAACAAGTCTCCAAAGGGAAAACTTACGTTTTGGTGGGACTGAGACATTACACATTTCGATGTCCAAACTAGTCTGGAGTTGTGAAATAGGTTAATTTCATAAGGGCTAAATTACACATTTAATCACTCAAATTGCATAATTCTTTCACGTTTGCAACTCGAATTACTTTTCTTTCATATTAGCCATTAACTTTACGATTTGTTTCACCGTTAGTCACCAACCGTCAGTCTCCATTAAAATCCGTTAACACCGTCAGTTATCTGATGACATGACAAAGGAGATTGTTGAGTGGACTGACAAAAAGTTAAGTCACACAAGTTGACCGCCTAGTCAGCCTCAATACCCAACTCATCTCTAAATCTTCCTCCTTCCTTGTCCCCAACCCAGATTTCCAATCTAAGAGTCGTGTCCCCTGTTCTACCACCGTCGTTGCCTTGCCTCCATAGAACCTGACGTCTCCTCTCCTCTCACACTCGATTTCCTCCATTACTAGTAAAACCTTTACCTTTTCATAAGAAAGGAGATGGTAGTTTGATTTCACCATGTACTTACCAGATTTGTCATAGTGCTAAACAAATTGTCAAAACATTGAATAGCGGATATCAATTCATACTCCGATTCAGTTATGAAAACATTGGTTAAAATAAAAGAAGCAAGATACCAGATAGAGACGGACTTGAGGATAAATTGTATATTAACCAGTGACAAATTGTAGTAATTGTCCACGATGACCAATAGAAAGCAACCTCATATCTTAATGATCATGGAACATGGTTGTCAAACTTGTAGCATGTCGGCTGGTACAACCAGGTTCAATTCATATCGGATACAAAATCGACTTGAATTCCCTTTGTATGATCGGAATGACCAATGTCCTGCCTATAAACAAATAACGCCAATTTGGTGAATTTAATTAAAAAAATGAAATTGTGATTTGTTTTGTGAATTTGAAAGTCAATGTTGATGTTATTTGTTGAATTCAAGTACAAACGTTTGGATGGTGCCATTAGATGTTATATTTCAATATGAGATCTTTCATTTTGTTTGTACAGTTATATTTTATTTCAATATGATGTAGATTTTAGGGATATTATATTTATATATTATATATGTCTAAATTCATTTGGTATTAATGGTTTTCCAAAAAAAAATTTGTCATAGATATCCTTGCTTATAAGCTAGATAAAAGCAAGGGAGGCACAATAATTACGGCACTCCCACTCGCCGACTCACAGACATAGTAAATAAGAGAATTCGTAGAGACCATTAGAAAGACAAGGATAGTGTAGAGCATATCTCGTCACATAATGAGCAGCTCTTTCGCGTCTCGAGGTGTGTATAGAAGCTTCACTAAAGATAACTGATGGAGTAACACATGTAATTCACGGGGAAGAATCCCACCATGAGCATCATCAGTTGAAACCGATGTCAATTTGTCCACTACTGCCTAAGCGCCCCCATTAATGAGAACGGGTCGATCGTGCCACTGCTGTCGATGCACAATAAACAACACCTCACCGAAGGCTAATAGTTCCATCAAATCTGAATCTGAAATGCTTAGTACAAACCTACCATAAGAAGAAGAAAAAGCCAAGGAGGCCATCTGTTCTAACTATACCAACTTCATCACAACTAGAAATGGTGTTGCGCCATCCATGGCTATGCGAAATCTAGGATGTCGCAGAGGAAAATGATAATGGTGGGGTCGAAATGGTGGTGTAGGTTGGTGAAGAGGTGGAGTGATGGTGGCAAGCAGGTGGTCATCGTGATGTGAGAGGAATTGGCGATGGAAGACAAGGATAGTGTATTGTGTGTGAGGGTGGAAAACCACATTGTTGTGACCCTTCCAGAGTCGTCAGTAGAGGAGTACCCAATCGAAGATGGTAGTAGGATAACCACCATAAACTGATACCGCCGGTTATCGGTTCGATAATCGATTAAACAGTTAACCAGATACCCAATTACCAGACCTAATAGGATGCAATGGGAAATTGAGAGGCGAACCCATCGGGAAATTGTAGGCCAATGATTTGAAGCAAGGAGACTGCAATCCTACAAAGTTAGAAAAGTTGTTGCAATGATTCCTCTTCTCCCGAATCACATATAAGACATGTGTTTTCCACATTGAGCCCATGTTTTTGTAGGTCTTCACTCATCAGAAAGATCCACAACAGAATAAGCCATAGAAAAATTTTGTTTTGGAACTAGAGAGAGTGAAAAAAAATATTAGGGCAGAGATATGGATCAAGGGGTAAAACTGAGTCAGACTGGATCTGTGAACGGTGCGTTGGTACCTTGTGAGTCATAATGCTAGGTATGCCAATCAAAACAATGGGCAATGGGCATGGGAATAACTAAAATGGCAGTTATAGATAGACATGTCATTAAAGAAATCTCGCAGGCGAGAAGAATTCCACTAGGAATTGTGGGAGAAATAAAGTACGAAACAAATTGTTGGAACATCTGAGTCGTAGGGAGGCGCGTGGAAAGAAAATATGGTAATATGGGAATCCATGGATTATCCGTACGTCTATTCTAGTGTTTGCACCTACTTTTCAATATATAATCCTTGTGGAGTAAATCTCCCTCGCAAGGCATTGGAGCCACTTAGCGCTGAAAAGAAATAAGTATGAGGGAAGTATTGACCCTTGAGAACTTGAGCAATAGAGTTTGATTAAATGTGCCAAAATCTTTGAAGCCCAGTCTGTCCTTTGATTTGGGTCGATATAAGTGGCACCAAGAAACCCACGGTAAACGACGCTCATTACCCTGTTGGCCCATCAAAAGCATGCAATCATTCAATTGAGTTTACAACAAAGTTCTTTGGAAAGAAAAATAACAGGACATAACATACTATAGGAGAGCTAAGGCAACTTTTATAAGAGTTTCAAAACCCACCAAGAATAGGCATTGATGTTTCCAACCTTGTAGGGGCTTTGCTACCTCTTCAATAGACCGAAAGTTTCCCGTTTATAACCATTGAATGAGGGAAGGAAGGCTAAGTACTTGTTAGAGAAAAACACTGTTGATTTAGGTAAGTTTACCCTTTCAACACTCACTCGTTGATAACGATTCATGAGATGTTAGAGAATTTGACAGTCCATATTTGAGGGCGTAAAAAAAGGAAAATATCATAGGCAAAAAAACATGTGTGATAGAATGAGACAATATGATTAAATTGAACTTCTATAAGCTCTCCCAAAGTGACCGCTTGGGACAATAAAGCCGAGAAGCCTTCTGTACAATTAGAAAAGATTAAAGGGAGAGCGTGCCACTTTGTGTGAGTCTAAAATAACTATTAGAGCTTCCATCCAACATGACATATATAGAAGTAGAGGGAAAACAATTGGATAAAAGATCAGTCCAATGGGAATCAAAACCAAGTTTGTCCATGACCCGAAAAGGATAAGACCATTCTATTCTGTCACATGCCTTTTACATATCAAATTCTAATGACATAAAACGCTCAAGGCCATCCCGCTTATTTTGAAGATATGCCATTACTTCTTGGACGAAGATGACATTGTCGATAATTGAACATTCCTTGAAGAAGCCATTATGATAAGTTGAAATGATCGAGGGAGGATTTTACCAAGGAGATTAGCTAGCAATTTGGAAAACAATTTTGTAAGAAACTTGGCAGAGACCAATCTGGCGGAGATGAGCGGAAGTTTTCACATTTATTACTTTTCGGATGAGAGTTAACCACGCATGGTTGAAAGATCGTAAAAAATGACATGTACGAAAGAAAGATTGGACTGCCAGACAAACATTAGGGCCCACAATATCCCAAAAATGTTGGAAGAAAAAAGACCAGTAAATTCGTCGAAGTCGGGAGCTTGAATGGTCTAATTTGAAATAATGCAGGCATAATGTCAGCCAATGAAAATATGGAAGCAATGTTGCATTCATTGTGTCGTTCCCCCACAACATTAAGTGGTAAGTTATCCACGACGTGGAAAATGTTTTCCGATTATAGCCGTATGTGAATAAGGTTGAGAAATTAGCCACAACCACCTCACACGTTAGGGCCTCCTCATAATGAATTTGCCCATCAGGTGCATAGAGTGAAGCGACGAAATTGCGCGCTCTATGGGTTTGGGTTACACGATGGAAGTACACAGTATTCTCCTTCATGCATCCATTGAACCTGGGAATGTTGCCGCCGAAAGACCTCCTCTTGATCTGATGCCACAACGGGTTCCCATTCCAAAGATAGAATATTATCTCAATCTTGGATAAGTGAGGCCCTCTGATCATGAATCACTGGTGTTAAGTCCTTAATCCAACGACGTGGATTGAAAAAACCTCCTATTACCCATTGAAAGAGTTCTCCATATATTTTGTTAAATCGATATGAATTGACATTATTCAATTGTATCATAGTCGAACCATAGCATTTGCCAAACTAGCATAGCCGTGTGGAATCTTTGAATTGCCTTGTACCATATCTAAGTTGGTACCATGTCCATTCCAATTTCCAAGAAAAGTTGGTCTGAAATTGCAGTATTGGATTAAGAAAAAACAAAGATCACAAAAAGAAAAATTAAAGAAAAAGAGGTTTTCTGGGGCAGACAAGGAGCAAACAGCAAGATTCCCAGTTCAACAGAAGCGTCAGAAACAACAACAATCCTAATTTCACAAAATGCTCCCTACCGGAAAAATGCATTGAATCGGAAAGACCCAGAAAAGCTCTTGTCGACTCTGACGAACTGGGAAATGGAGTCGAGCATACTGGAATCGATCGGGGTGGAGATCATCGGAGTAATGTCCCCGGTTTCGATCTGTATGCTTCTGGTGGTTCTGATCGTCTACTCCCTCTCCCCTGCCGCCGATTTAGCGCCGCCGATTCGCTCCGCCGCTAACCTTGTTTACCTGGAGGTACCCACGGACTCCACTACCCAGAAGCTTGAGGGCGCCTTGCTCAATGCCTTGGTTTTCGTCATCATAATTGCCGTCGTCACTTTCCTTCTCCTTCTGCTCTACTACTACAATTGCACCGGCTTCTTGAAGAATTACATGCGGTTTTCCACATTTTTCGTGTTGGGTAGGGTAATCTCAATTCTTTCCCAGCTTTGATTCTCTGCGCGTATTGGTGGGTTTGATCGATTGATTCTAAATCTTGAGTTTGTTCGTTTACTAAATCGCCAGGTAGCATGGGAGGCTCGATTTTCCTGTCAATAATTCAGCATTTCTCGATACCCGTCGATTCAATCACCTGCTTTGTTTTGCTGTTCAATTTCACAATAGTGGGTGTATTATCGGTCTTCTCTAGTGGCATACCAATCTTCTTGAGGCAAGCATATATGGTAGCACTGGGAATATTTGTGGCGGCTTGGTTTACAAAGTTACCTGAATGGACTACCTGGGCGCTGCTAGTAGCATTGGCAGTCTATGATTTGGTTGCAGTTCTGGCACCAGGTGGGCCACTGAAATTGCTGGTCGAGTTGTCCCAAAGCAGGGACGAGGAGCTACCTGCACTGATATATGAAGCACGGCCAACTGTTTCAGCCGATCCACGCAATCAAGTCCGGAGCATGGAGCTTCTGTTTGGTACAGCTTTGCAGTCTGGATCCGTGGAGATGCAACCCATCTCTGGGGACCACATAGGTAGCAGGGAAGGTGGTGAGCACAATGTTCGTCCTGAACTTATTGAAGCGCGGTCCATGAATTCGAGCAATTCGGAAGATCATCTGCAAGATAGAGATGAAGTTGAGAGGTCTCCACTGGTGGGTGGTGGTTTAGGGGGAAGGCAATCTTCAGGCAGTAGTGGATCAGAGTATTCGGTAGTTGTTGGCAGTCGTGAGCCCCCCGAGATCGTTGTAGTTGCAGATGAAGAAAGGTCTCCTCTGGTTGACTCTCGAAGACATGGAAATGCGAACGAGAGAGCAGTGAGAAGGATGGATGATGATGATGATGATTCGGACTCTGTGTTAGCAAGTAGCGGGATTAAGCTGGGTCTAGGAGACTTCATTTTCTACAGTGTCCTTGTTGGTAGGGCTGCAATGTATGATCTAATGACAGTGTATGCATGCTACCTTGCTATTATTTCAGGGCTTGGCTGCACTCTCATTTTGTTGTCGGTCTGCCGTCAAGCACTGCCAGCTCTCCCTATATCAATAGCATTGGGAGTCGTCTTTTACTTCTTGACGCGGTTATTAATGGAACCTTTTGTTGTCGGGACAGCAACGAACCTATTGATGTTCTGAGAGACAAGTAAGAAGATGATCTGTTTGGTTATTCCACTAGCCAAGCCTGCACCAGTGCTGTTAGGTATGTCTTTTGGAGGCATTTCTTTTGCTGATATAACTCTTCAAAGAAACTAACTCGCACCATCTCTCGATCTTTCATATCATAAGGATTTCTCACAGCTTAAGAACTCGACTGCAATGCAAGTACCAGGAGAGCCAGGTTTAGCCGTTTAGGTATACAGATATGGAACCGTCTTCCTGCTATAGTATCTGTAGTAGTAAACTAGCTATCGCCACATTTGGCATTTCTTTTGTTTGAACCTTGGAGTCTTCAGAAGCAGAAGCAGAACCAGATGATTGTGGTTATCATATGGCTCGCTCAGTTCGTTGAATTATCTGATTAAGAGACCATTTTCAGGGTCTGGAATGAGTGTGTAGGAGAGGAGACTGATGTTTAGTATGGTATGTAGGGATTTACATTTGTCCCCTGTTTAACTGCGGAACAGCATACCCTATTATTACATGAAAGTATACTCCTGTGGTAGCTTCCTATTTTACATAAAGATTAGGTGTGTGCTCAACATGACTCAGATTCCTGATCTTAGGATTATGAACCGATCTCATTGCTGTCACGACGACCAAGATTGTGAGCCACAATGCGGAATTAGGATGCATTCGCATTTTTGGTGAGTATCCAGTCCTACTGCTGAGAATCAATGGGTTCTGTTTTCTGCACTGTTGTAAGCAGTTACGAGCAGTAGTTGAATTATTAATGGGTTTGCCACCTTGCACTATTAGATCAGCTGAGTTTTCGAGTAGCGTACCTGCAAAGCACCAGAAGAACCTTTAGATGCTCGAGAATCTACATGGCCTTTGAGACTGTACCATGTTCTCAGTGGCGGATACATGTACTAAAATTTGGGACAACATTTGGGACAACGATTATTCAACCCTCAGTAGTAGTTTCGTATGGATAGAAAAAATATAATTGGTAATTCGGGACAATTCTAATATTTGAAAAAATGATTATCATACCTTCGGTAATAGTTTGCATATTAAAAGGATATAAGCGGTAGTATGTGTTATTCAAATCTAGGTCACTACTATTATTAAACATATTCTTAATGAGGTTGCAACTCATTTGTTGTTTAATTTTAAATACTATATATGTAATACTAAAAATGCTAACGACAAGTGTTAATTGTAAACATATTTCCAACTATTTCAAAACCTAATAATTAAACTAATTATAGGATACCCTCAATTTGAATTGATTTTATGGATACACGGCAAGTGATGAAAGTCTTTTCAACTTTGAGTTACATAAAGAACAATGTTAGAAATTGAATATGCGATCAGGTCGTGAATTAAAAATGCTAACGACAAGTGTTAATTGTAAACATATTTCCAACTATTTCAAAACCTAACAATTAAACTAATTATAGGATACCCTCAATTTGAATTGATTTTATGGATACACGGCAAGTGATGAAAGTCTTTTCAACTTTGAGTTACATAAAGAACAATGTTATAAATTGAATATGCGATCAGTTCGTGAATTATTGTATAGTAGCAGACTTGTTGAGCAGTGTAGAACAAAGTCTATTTTATATTATTTTTTACGAATATAAAAACACATTGTGACCTTTTATGAAAATTTGTACTAGATGAATATTTTCTAATTTATGAATTATTTAATTTAAAATTTTAATTTATTTAATTTTTTGGAAAAGGACACCTTGTAAAAATTTTCTGGATCCGCCACTGATAGACTATTTTTGCTTAAATATTGTCTGTCCTGGTCTGCCATAATATGTGCCAAATGCCAAGTATGCTTGATAGAGACACAGAGTTAGTGATACTCCAGCTTTGCATGTCTGGAAACCAAATCGCATGGGATAATTTGGATGAAGGTTTTTAGTGCGACCGGTGAGATTTTAGTCCAAACTTTTAGACAATCTATAATGGGTGCTAAAAATTCGAGCCAAAGTGCTAAATTTGGTACTCAATAAAGTGTGGGTGCTAAAAATTCGAGCCAAAATGCTAAATTTAGTACTCAATAAATTGTCGTTGCTTCAATGGAGTAGAGCCAAATGTCAAATTACTTTATTTGTGATTTTTTTATTACTTAGTTAATTGTACATTTGATTGTTTTATTTATCTAAATTTGCAATCATTTTTATATAAGCAGTTATAATTAATTAAAATAAACATTTTGATGTAATTTTTTTAGTTTTGATATATTTTTTTGTCGATAAATATGATGTCATTAATGACAAAAATACAGTGGTTGGTGTCAATGACCATATATTTATCACATGTTTGTCAGAATGAGTTGTGTCATCAATTGTTTATCTAACTTTAATCAATATGAGTTGTACCATCAATTGTTCATCAAACTTTAATCACTGTGAGTTGTGTCATCAAATGTTTATCCAACTTTAAACATAAATGAGTTTTTCCATCAACAATGCATCTAGTTTTAGTTAACCAACTTTAATTACATGATTGCAGAAAAAATCTTTTCGTGTTTCTATAAATGAAGCCTTCACTTGGACATTCTCCTCATCCCACCATTCAACCTTCTTCACATGATCTCAACTTCACACTTCTTTCTACACACCAACAACTCCTTCTATATCATGAGTTCCCCTGGTAGAGAAGCTGATGACAGGGAAATGGGAAGATAAGAAAGAAGTTTGTGGTGTCACGAGTTGAGGGAAGTTTTGTCAATTACCTGCCATCAAATCGTCATCACCGCCACCATCCATTCTTTGCAACCCTTGTTTGGGGCCTCTTGTTCGGTAACCAGAAGAAGCAGAAAGGCAGTGGTAGTGGCGGAGGTCATGCATTGTTGGTGGTGTCTTCAAAGCCATACATCCCCGATTACAAGCTGGCTTTCGAGTGAACCAATTCAAAATCTGAAAATCATCGTCGTTGTTCTCAAAGCGGGGATATGAAATTGCGGTCGTCGTTCTCAAACCACGGGCCACTGAAATCATATCTGTCATTGGAGATCTGAATCAGATCCGTCATCGGAGATTTGAATCAGTTCTGTCACCATTGATGCAGAACCTCCAAATCCAGATTCGATGCAGACCCTTCATGTCCAGGCTAGATGGACGAAGATGGAGATGAGGAAGCGACGTGGCGATGGAGGCGGCGACATTTGGGACCGATCGCGATGGCGACAAATCTACAAGTGAGAGGCCCAATATTGGATGTAGGAGAGGGAGCAGATCTAAGCAGATGAGGAAGAAAGAAAAGAACTGGCTAGTGATGGTGACGATTCGTTGGTGATGGGCGATGACCGACGGGTGAGGAGGAAGAGTGACAACGAATGATCTGGTGAAATTGCCGAGTGGATTTGTTGGCTAGGAGAAAGAATGGCAGGGATGAACTGGAGGAAGGACGAGGGGCTAGGATTTGAAAAAAAAAAAAAAAAGGAAAAATGAGAGATTTATAAACATCTGATCTAAGTCCAACATCTGAAAGGCCATAAGCACCATTTAGGGATAAAGTATTTAATACAGGCATGCTTCACTGGAGACACAGCTAAGGTAGAACGTAAAACATAATCAGGTATGCCTCGCCCAGAATAGTCAAGTTGAAGAACCTGAAAATAAGACAAAACGCAAGTCATCTTCAAAAGAAGTTTACTCGTTGCTAATAAAGAAAGCAATGAGATTGGGGCATTACCATACTATGTGCAAAGAATAACAATTGAAACATTGGCCAATCTTCAAACTTCTGCTCTCCCTCAGTGGATTGCTCAGCTACTTCAACACCAGGAGGAGCCTCTTGACGCTCTTGAGCTTCGAAATGAGCAAATCGAGCAGGCATTCTTTCGTGCTGCGTCCTTGAATTGGAACCATTCGAGAACCAGATTCGGTCTTCTTCGACAGTGCGTCCTTTGTCCGTTCTTTCAATCTCTCTTGCTCTTCCCTGCTAGCCTTTTCCGTTGCCCCTTGTGAAAGGCTGGCTAGGGTTTCGCCTTCATTTACGCTCGTCGATAATCAAGGTTCCTGCAACTTGTAGTTACCCATTTCTCACATCTAAGTCTCATTGTTTTTCAAAGTTGGCATCTTGGCCGCAAAAATTTTCTTACCCACTTTCCTTGGAGCAATAATTTCCATGGCCGGCATTTGCAATTCGCTGAGTTTTACTATGAGGATTAGTTAATCAGTGTTTATGTTCCATGCGTTTCTGGTTGGAACAGTGGTCTCAAAAATGGAAAAATGGTTTTGGAATAGCTTGTTTATGTATAATCCATGCTATGCCAGTAGAAAATTAGTTACGAGGCTGGACTATGTACGGGTAGTATGTGTACTCATAATACCTAAACGAGTAATCCGCAGGTATTCATTGTAAATTTTCTTGATTCCAAGTCTCGTCTCGTAAAAAAATTACGGACATTTGAGTACCTATAACTCTAAAAAAATGGGACGAGTATGGATATACTCAAATATCCGTTTCCCACCCCTATCTTTGCCATGTTAAGGTCGCAAACCCATTCTAAAGAGGATTGTTATTCGTCGCCTTACTTTTTACTAATTATAGCCCTAAATTGATGTAAGAAGTCCTAAATACCATTAATGAATATAGAGGTGGCAATTAGGATCCAAATCCATGAATCCAATCCAATCCATCCACCAAATTATCCACTTAATCCAATCCATTTAAATCCAATCCATTTGATCCAAATCCAATTGGATTGGTGGATTCATGGATCAATCCATGGATCCAAATGGCAAATTACGATTTGGTACCTATATTTTTTATATTTTACATTTTGGTACCTAAATTTTTTCATCATGACATTTTAGTACCTAAACTTTTCAAAATTTACATTTTGGTCCAAGCCTTGGATGTCATTTGGATTCATGGATCAATCCACCAATCCATTTGATCCAATCCATGAATCCACCAATCCATTGGATCCAATCCATTTGATCCATGGATCCACCAATCCAATCCACGAATCCACGAATCCGATCCAATTGCCACCTCTAAATGAATATAATATTTATACTTTCTTACATCAATTTAGAACGATAATTAGTAAAAAAAGTAAAGTAGGACGAGAAATAGCAAAGCATTTTCTATAACAAAGCCACGGGAAACTCGCGCCCAAACTTTGTGCGCCTCTCAAATCATATTTCAAAAAATATGCCAACGTTTATAGCTGTGACCACAACGACGTCGTGTGACACCCTGGAGGTGTATCCCTCCAGCGTGCGGTGTCTCTGCTTCGGTCTGGCCTTCCAAGTTCCAGGCTCCGCGTTTCCTCGTAGATTTGTCCTTCCCACTCCTTCCGTGCCTTCGGTTCGAACTTCGAACCCTACCCCTTCGGCGTTTGTTCTTCCTCCTCCTCCTTCGCAATGAAGCTCGTCAGGTCAGCCTCTCTTCCCTTCCTCGCAACTCTGCTCTCTTCGCCTCCTTGTGGTTTCCTATCATATTGTTTTCTAATGCTCAATACTCCGCTTGGCTGCAGGTTTTTGATGAAGCTGAACAACGAGACTGTTTCAATTGAGCTAAAGAACGGGACCGTTGTCCATGGCACCATTATAGGTTTCCCCACTCCTTTCCTCAAATCATCTCATGCTATTTGTGCGGTTGGGCAGGGTTTTTTTTGCAAAACCCTAGTTTTTTACCTATTTGTGAAGACTTTCTTTTCCTGGTAATTAAGTTTCAGTTTCGGCTTTACTAAGTTGTTTCGTGTCAGAATGATTGAACCGTATTTGTGAAGTGTTGTGAGTGGAGAGCAAATAATAATGTTATTGTAGTACTAATTTTGCAACCATTTCGCCGAGGGATTTGGTTCTGGTGTGGAATTCTGGTGTAGGTGATAGGCTCTTCGTTTTCAGTTAAGCGGCTCTGCCTATGGATGCTTGTTAAGGATGAATTTTTTTTTTCTTTTTTGTGTTTCACCAGCTGATGCCTTACTGAGTTACTCAAATTTTAAGTCGTCTTAATTGTTCTACAGTTGAAACTAGATTAGCTCGAATGAGATTTCGATCATCTGACTTAATCTGCCTGTCACTAGTTACTATTACTAGTCTATTTGCACACAATAAATGGTTATTTCGAGCTGTAATGACTGTAAATATGTACTTTATCCACCTCATTGTACCAAACTATTGCTGAGGCCCGGAGATGTCACTGTTAAGTTGCTAGGTCTCGGAGTAACGTATGAGCGTGCTTCTTCTACATATTTTCTTGTGCCAAGAGATGTTTAAAAGATTTCCATGAGTCAAGTTGAGTTCCTTTGGACCTTCGTCTCTAAAAGAAGCGAATTCAAAATTGAATTTTCCATCTAGCCATCTCTATCTTTTACAGCATTGGTGTATTGGACAGGTGGGCTGCAAGCATATCCTGCTGGGCTAGATGTCTGATGGCATGTTTCCTTTCTTCTGTCCTGGTGGTATAGACCTGTGGTTGGGGATATTCTTTTGCCTGTTCATTTTCTTGTTTTCCTCGTTTCATTTTTCCTTTGTGATATTGCACGGGATTTAAGTACATTTCGTGGTTAGTATTGAATTATTCATGAAAAAGATGATGCTTCATGAGCTATCTGTTGTCTGCTTGGTTGATAAACTTATATTTTCATCCATCTGCTATCGTTCTTTGTTCTTCCCCTTTGCTGTCTGCAATCTGAGTTTTGACAGTTGAATCCCCCTAAGTTGATGCGAAGGAATTGTTTGTTGCATTTGAAATTGGCTGGGTTGTATATTTCTTTAATTGCATGTTGTTGCAGTTGACATCCTCCAAAAACTTAATGATGCATTAGTGTGCAACTATTTTTTTCGTTAGTGTATATTGTATCAGAACAGTGAAATAAGACATGTGAAATCTACTGCCTCAGTGTTGCATGTGTTCATATACTTTTAAAGCCCGTGCATTGGAGTTGGATATCACATAGCTTTGGTGCAATCGAGTTTCTTTCTGTTATATATGAGATTCACTTCTCTGGTTGTAGATTGCATAACTTTGTTGTTAACTCTGCTGAAATGCCTTCATTTACACAGTTCTTTTCCACTTCTCTAGTTGTTGAATGTTTCAAGGCGAACGTTCGTTCTTTTCCCTTTTGTCTCTTCTTACATCACTATGACCTGAGCACCTGACATAAGTTGCACTCCTGTGAGTTATCATTTGTTGTGCATCCATGCCTGAGTATGGTGTTCCTTGTACCTGTTGGCTAGAGCACAACATTTCTTAGGTGCCTAAACACCTATTGTCTTCTGCCCATTCAATGTTTCCTCACATTTGCTTTATATGCTCTGCAAGTCTGCATCCGAGTTTGTTGACTTGCTTTAAAGAGAGATCACATGGGTTATACTTACATAGATTATTGATACATGCAGCTCTATAGTTAATATATAATTAAATTAATTTGATTTGCCAACAACAGGTGTGGACATCAGCATGAATACTCACCTGAAAACTGTGAAGCTAACACTGAAAGGGAAAAATCCAGTCACTCTGGACCATCTCAGTGTTCGAGGCAACAATATCCGGTATTACATTCTTCCTGACAGCTTGAATCTTGAGACATTGCTGGTCGAAGAGGCACCTAGAGTCAAACCTAAGAAGGCAACTGCTGGTATGATCACAATCTCCCTGGTCTTGCTAGAATGCTATTGATCAGAATAATTTTGTTTACCTAAATCTGATTGTTGGATGCTGTGCAAAATGCAGGAAGGGCTTTGGCTCGTGGTCGGGGTCGCGGCCGTGGTCGTGGACGTGGTCGGGGGCGATAGTCGAGTTGCGGTTGGGTGGAATGTTTTTGGGTTTGGTGTAAACAATTTCTGTTGTAACTGGAATTTGTGTAGCCAATTACTTGTGGGTAAGCGAGGTGTAGCTGCTGTTTATGTTTGAAACTCCATTTGTTTAAAGCATATTCCGACAGGGAGTGTTGTGGTTCGGGATTTGAGTAATTTTGTTGCTCTTAGGAGTGGGAACATACCGGAGAAAGCTATATACTTGTCTTACCTGCTTGATGAACTGTCCAGTTCGATCTATGTTGCAATTTGGTGTCAATTGGCTGACCATCATATTTCTATGTTCACTATAGTGTAATAACTAATAACTATGGATGCAAGGGGAACGGATGTTCGATCTATGTTGCAATTTGGTGTCAATTGGCTGACTATCATATTTCTATGTTCACTAATAATATTGTGTAATAACTATGGATGCAAGGGAACGGATTATGTCAATAACCTTATGATTAGTAATCATGAGTAACTCGTTCACATCAGTATGACATCAACATCACTCTCTCTTGGAAAACCTTTAATTTTCTCTCCTTAATCTTTGACGAACGATTTCTCGCTCGTTCTAAGTCGAAATTTAATTTTTTTTGCATAGTTAAATCAGATTAATTGTGCTTTTCAAAATGATATCCACTTTAATATATTTTTCGAACAAAATAAATTGAGTCATTTTTTACTAGTCTATACCATATGGTATTGACTGGTATTGAAATAAGAGCATACCTATGGTTTAAAAAGCGTACCATGGTGGTATGAACTAACTAAGACTGTAGGATGGTTGAATACACGATAGTAGAAGTATATTAACTGTCAATTACGACTTTTAACATTGTGTACCACAAGATACCACCCCGTACCAGGGTGGTATTGTATGATATTGTGTGGTATTTTTTTGTCCTGTAATTTGTTTACCCAGAAATTTGTAGATCCAATAGATCATGATGAACTCGTCTCTTTGTGCAAAAGTTTTCAAAAACGAATTAAAAACGAAGAAGATTATGATATGCAGTTGGTACCGAGATGTCAGAATTTTTTTTCTCTAAAAAAAATAAAAATTGATCTCATTTTGTAGAGCACAATGAACTCGTTCCATCTGTGCAAAAAAAAAAAATTAAAATCCGAGTTAAAACGAAAAAATTATGAGCCGATTAAGAAAGCTAGGGAAAACAAAAAATACCTTTAATTCTCCATCCTTCGATCTGGATGTTCTAAATAAAGGGTCCAGATTTGGTTATTGATTGGTGCATACCCATGGTTATGCATCCTATTTTGAGAAGGATGTTAGTCTATTGTTCCACAGTTGGGGGATGGATGTAGAATTAGGAATTTGTGGAAGATTAGGGATTATAATGGGGCGGGTTTGGGGCGGGTTTGTCTAAACCATCCCCATCCCCATCTTCAAATACCCAAACTCATATACTCCCCATACCCATGGGGGGAATGTTTTGCAAACCCATCCCCATACTCGTGGGTTTCGGGTACCCATGGGTAATACCCGTACCCATACATCCAACATTATTATACCTAAAATTTACAAGAACAGTTTTAATTATTACTCTAAACAAACCTATTATATCATGAAGTCAACAAAACACGATCATTTTCTTCATACGGTTCAAAGTTTTTGATCTTAAAACATCCATTAATACATAATATAGAGTATAATATTTTTCAAATTATTATCTTCTAACTCTTATATATCTACTAAGTAATAATTAACTAACATAATATTGTAGGCAAGGGGAAAAGTGAAAGAGTGAAAGGAGAATTGAGGGAAATGAATTAGATTTTGATTAAAATGGTCACTCAATTGCATTTCTACTATTTATTTCCTTGAGTTATCCTCATCACCATTGATAGATTACAATTTAATCCACATATTTTTTTATATGTGAAGAAATTCTCTTGGTGGGGCGGGTATGGGTATGAGTATGGGGCGGGGGAGGTCAAAACCATACCCGCCCCATACCCATCAAACTTTTTGCGAGTTTTACCCATACCCGCCCCATACCCGGTCAAAGCGGGGATTCCCCACGTTGACTGGGTCGGAGGCGGTCGGATACCCGCGATCATGAGTTTTATTTTCCATCCCTATACTCCTTCCCACTCAACCGCCACATCTTCTTCCTCCAGCCGGTGATCCAATCCCAACATGTTAGGATGACGATGATGACGGTGGTCTTGCAGCCTACGCCGAGCTGCAGTCTTTCCTGTTTGATTGGTTTCGACATAATTCTCCAAATTGATTGCTAGTTCAACACCGGAAAAGAGATTTCGTGTTTCGTTTTTTATCAATTTGTTAATTGATTTCGTATTCGATAATCGGTTGTTCAATTGATGATATGGATGGATAAATCCATTTTGACTACATTGTTTATTATGAAATCCAATCAATTCAGAATTAGAAAGTTATGATTTGTCTCAGCCAAACAACAAGAAATATTATTAGTTCTTAAAGGATGGAGATACAAACAAAGAAGAACACAAGACGATCTCCACGGTAGAATCCTTAATGGATCGATCCCAATCAAATCCTCTAGGATTGGGTTGCTGGAAAACCCATATTTTCCTCCTCTCTAACGCGTGTTTAAGGTTTAAGATAAAAATTGGTTGAATTACATTACATGTACTAAATTATTTCTTTATTTAGTTTTATCCCGTTGTAGTTTTTGCAAAAATTGTTTATGGCTGAAACTTTTAGAAAATTATTTTTCACAAAATACAATTGAGTGTTTGACTGAAAAACTATTAGAAATGTTTTTTAATATAAGAGGTTATGTAAAATGACTATAAAGGATTTATAATATAAAATTTGAATAAAAATTTATTATGAATCTTGTTAGATTTATTTTATATTAAATAATATGATTTTAAAATTTATTTTATTTTTAAGCTGATATAAATAGAATAAAATTATATTTTTTGAAATAAAATTAAAATAAGGTAACTATCTCAAATTATCAAGGTTGTCAACCCGCGGGTTGACCCACGGGTCGACCAACTTTGACCCTGACCCGGTGAGAAAAACGGGTCGCACATACCCGCCGGGTCGACCGCTATAAGGTACCGGGTTGAAGGTCAAATTATGTTATTTTTTTCTTTGGTTTGCGAAATGCGCATATTTTCCGATTTTTCTTTTCGCCTAACTCAATCTTTGGAATCCTAAGTTGAATATTTGAATATTGATGTATATAAGTGTGTGTGAATTTTCACTTTATGCTAGATCTAAGTACGATATGTTATTTTGGTGTAATATTATATGCTATAACTCATATGTTAGATAAGACTTGATATAATTTATAAGGAAAAGTACAATATAATGACTCTTTCCATCTTTTCGGGCCAAATCGGACTAAAACGGTTGACCCATTAACCCTTAACTCACTAGCTCGACCGGGTCCGGGTCAACCCGCGGTTTCACAACCTTGCAAATTATCAATTTCCTCTACATACTCTCGTCTCGTTTCAAGCGAAAGAAACGGAGGCTTTGCTTTTCCAGCCTTCTCCTAGTCCAAGTCTTGTTGGAGTTTGACTTGACCGTCCAAAAAAAACCCTAGCCTAGTATAAATTCACGCTTTTACTCGTCTGTTATTTTGTTTCCTCCTAAATTCAATTTTACGGCGGCAGCTGGACCGTAGTAATTCTTAAGCTTCGCGTCCGAATTCCGCAGCCGGGGCCAAAAGAGGAAGAAAACAGAGCAAGCGGAAGCAGGGAGGATGAAGCAGGCCGTGAAGCAAGCTGCGGTGGTGTTTGGGTCACTGGCCTTCGGATGGCTGGCCATTGAGATTGCTTTCAAGCCTTTCCTCGACAAGGCTCGTGCCGCCATCGCCAAGTCTGACCCTGAACACGACCCAGACGACGATGAGAAGCTGGACGACTCCTCCTCCGCCGCCGCTGCTGCTAAAACAGAGTCTCCTGCCGATGGTGTCTCCTCCGACGTCACGCCGGCAGCCGCCACCGAAATAGCAACCGTGTAAATCCATTTAGAGCTTTACCCATACGAGTTGCGTGCGTAGCTTTAATTTTATCAGTTTGTGTCAGTTGAATAAACATACGCGAGTCGACATAAGGATTTGAGGTTTCCATGTTCATATGATCTGTTGTTCGATTTATGTCGTGGGTCTGAATTGCTTGCTGTGCTGTAATCCCGCTTTGATTTTGCTACTATTTGTTAAACCCTAAATACATAGTTCTCGGTGAGAATTTGTAATGTATCCATGGTTTTCCGAAACCCTAGAATCCCCAGGCGATTGTGATTGAATCCTGAATTATGCGGCCAAGCAATTTGAACCAGATCAGAGAGTTTTTAAGTTTGAGACACAACACTGAAGTTCAGAAGGTGTTTAGGGTTAAGAGTGTAGCGGCCAGACTCCATGTTTGCTTGGTAGCTGCAGTTCAATGCGCCATGCTCGTTCTCAGCGGGTGCTCTGTGCCTGCAGCGGAGAGTTGTTTGTTTCTCCACCTGATTTGATGATCCTTTATGTCACTGCACCTGCATTTTCTTCCTTTGCATATACCGAGTCCTTCAAACTAATCTTGCTCTCTGAACTTTCCTTGGTGGGTTGCGTCCAAGGTGAGTCATGACTGTTAAGAGTAAAACCCATGGCGTTTAGGCTTTTGCAATCATGTAGCTATGAATGAGTGGACTTCTTCTTCTTCTTTGTATGGTTGAAAGAATGAATTTGATCCCACGACGAGAACGAAGTAGGAGAAAGAGTTGCAATCTTTAGGTCCAGCTTCCTTTGGTATCTAGTTCGCTAGCCTAGGGAGGTGGATTGTCTGAGTTAGATCATAATGGTTCTCATCTGATTAATCTTCTTTATTAATCGGCAGAAAAAGGGAATGTAGGATGGAAATGGCAGAAAAAGGGAAGCTTTTCTTTATTAATCGGGCTACAGTGCTTACAGTATCATCTCCGAAGACATCCTTACAGCACCTATAAGCGTCTATATCAACTGCTGCAATCATTCTGATAATTTTGTAAATAAGATGTCACATGTTCATGACATTCTTTTCATTCTACATGCGGGAAGTACGTCTGGCAATGAGGCAGGTGCGGGCGGGTTTCTTGGTATCCAGACCTGCCCTGTGGTAGTTCGGGTTCAGGTTGGATAATTTATCATGGGGTCGCAGGTCGAGGCAGGTCGACCCAATAGGTATACAATTTATATGAAAAACATTAGAAATATTTGTTATTTTTATTAGAAAACTAAGAAAACAAACAACATTATGATAAACGTAGTTAAATTATTAGAGAAATTGAGGTTTTTATCAATTTACAGCTTTACTATAGCTAAATTATGATGTAATAAAAGAAAAATCATATATAATTTGATTAAGATTACATGTAATTTAGGCAAGAACGGATCGAGAATGGGTCGGGTCACAACAGGTCGAGTCGATGAGAGTACCCACAGTGGCGGAGCCAGGAAATTGGCCAAGGGGGTGTCTTTATCATATCATAAAAAATCACATATACAATAGAAAAGTCAACTTTAAATTAAACAAAAAGTCAACAACGCAATACTCTAAATTCACACAATTACATCAAAATAGTTTCACGTACACCGGTTACAACGTCAAACAAATAAGTTCAGTACATACAAATCAAGACTTCCATTCATCAAATATTGCAAATAAGAACTCAGAAGTATCTTGGAATTGATTTTGTGAAACAAACAAGTGAACTTCAATTGGTACTTCTTCACTTTCAACTTTGTTTAAACAAAAGACAATAAATTTCTCTATTGTAGAGCTACAAAAAAAAATGAGCGAGTTTAAACAAAAGACAACAATTTATTACTATAAATAAAGACGAAAGTGCATTACATAACAAAACTCACTCGATCGAAATGATAAGAAATTCTTTCTGCAACTGAATGGTCATTGGTTGGAATTTGTATATACCCCTACTCGAAAAAAAAATTCCAAAGCCAAGGGGGGTGCAAAGCACCCCCTCCTCTCCAAGTGGCTCCGCCACTGAGTACCCATGCCCGGTCCGCCTACGGACCCACCCAAAACAGATCAAACATGTCAGGTAAAACAGGTTAGGTCGAAATTGCCATCTCAGTTAAACTTCATTCCTATGGCCAAGATGGTTTGGTGGATTTGACGATGATTCGACCAGGGAAAGGGCATTTGGAGATAACCTAGCTACCTTCGGCATTAGTACGTGGCCGAGAAGAGCTATGAGAGTAGGTGACCATTCAGGCACACGCATATAACTCAATCGGTAGGTAATCAACAAAAGTTTTACTGCGGATATTTAAGGATTATCATTTATCAAAGTGTATTAGAAGTTATGCTCGAAAAAATAAGTGATACACTATTTTAAACTAAAATAGTTGTTTACCAATTTGAATCCAGAACGATTTCTAAAACTCTGCTTAGACCAGGACCTTAACAATTCACCTTATCAACTCTCAAGAGATTTATCTCTTGTAGCCGTGACACAAAGGGGTCGTTTGCTTGTTGGATTTAACATAAGTCCATTGTTTGTTGAAGGGTGCTAAATCCGTGGGGTCCATGAATTTGGTCTTTATTTTGGAACCAAATCCGTGGACCCCACGGACTTGTAAATCCCACGTATTGATTTGGGATTTGTAAATCCTTGATGGTTAGTTATTTATTTAACAAATCCATCATCAGATCTATCATGCAAACATGAGGGTTTTGTAATTTAAAAACCCAAGGATTTATCAAGGATTTGAAGCATCATGGATTTGTAACAATCCTTTGTTTGTTGGGATGTTTTTATTATGGATTTAAAGGTGTGGGATTTACTACTTGAATTCAAAAATTACATTACTGCCCTTTTCTATACGTTTGACATGTTTATGATATTAGAATCGGGAGAACAAAGAATTACACGTTCCATGAAAAGGTCAAAGAAAACTAGAACACAAGAAATGATATAAAAAATCTTACTCATGTTTGCACATTAATTGAACGTTTATATTATTCATTTATTGTCAATTATAATGTATAATAGTTAAATTAGAGGGCAACCTTGGAATATTAAAAGTGTATGAGGGTATATGGTAAAATCTCATCAAGGATTTATGCCATATTCCAAATCCCACATCAACATGTGGGATTTATAAGTCCGTGGGGTCCACGGATTTGGATCATTAAAATTCATGGGCCCCACGGATTTGGTCTCCAAAAAAGGTGCAAGCAAACAATGGATTGTACCTAAATCCTTGATAGTTGGTTTTTTGGTACCAAATCCATGTACCAAATCCTTGAAGCAAACGACCCCTAGACTCTTCAAATCTATAATCTAATAAATCCAACATAAATCCCAAGTTTTTTATTGGCCAAAACCATCAATTTCAAATCCAACAAGCAAACGAGCCCAAAGTCTTATCCTATCCCTACTCAAAAAGTTCTACCCATCCTGGAGGATTGCGGAAGATAACTTAAATTATTTCAAATATCAAATAATTTAGCTTATCTCGTAACGACAATAATATAACGACGTGTCAGGACTCAGGACCTTTGCAAAGTTCCAGTGCCTCGAAATGTCCAAAATTTGCAAATAAGAAATAATAAAGATCAGAAATTTCGAACCAACCCTTCTCCTTCTCCTTCTCCTTCTCCTAACCCTCCACCATTATTTAGCTCAAACTCAATAATACTACTCAGTGATAGCGACCCATAACTGATCGCTTACCTTCTTCACCCAGATCACCAGTTATATCTTTTTTTGTTTTGCGACTTCAACCTTCGCCGTCGCCTTCGTCTACCCATCTCCCCGAATTGTCCCATAAATCTCTTGTTTCCTCGTTACTCATTAATTTCCCGGTGGTTGGTCTCTGTCTCTGTCTTCGCCGGTTTCCGGCCGTCTTCATTTTCGATTTGTTTGTCTGTCTCTCTGTCTGTCGCAAAATCTCCCCAGGTTAGTCGACCTCTCTCTCTCTCTCTCTCTCTCTCTCCCCCCCTACCGTCTTTTGCCTGATTGGAGCTGTGTGTGGGTCTCTGTTTCTTTCATTCTTCAGATTGAACTTGTAGTTCGATTCCCTCATTGATCTCATTTGGGGTTCTGGAAACCCTGTGACTACTTACCCAGAAATTAGGTCTGAATTGATTGATTTCCCCTCACCTGCATGGTCCTTGGGCACGGAATTCGGATATTTGGTTCCGGTTCAGAGAAACTGTGACGTTCTTTCTTGTAAGCACTTTGTGGGCATTTCTGATTTGTGGGTTAGCTATATCACCGATGCTTTAGCAGTATCCTGTGGTGTGTTTAGGCGTTCTTTATTAGGTCAGGAACCCTACGGGTCCACCAGGAGGAAGGATGAGCGATCCCAGAAAGAATGCATCTTTCTGGAATTTTTTTGTCAAGGTTGGAGTAGTACGCGTCTTAGATGAGCTCTTTTGGTATTTCACCTTGGTGTTGAATTGGGTTGGACTGGTTTCTACGTTCGCCTGGGTGGTCATTTTAATGATTGGCACTTGTTCTTTTTGAATCTCGCTTTTCATTTACGTTGTCATTTTGTAGAATCAATGCATTCATGGTAAACTGGTGTCACTTTCTTGTTCGTAAGTCGTATTCACTCCTATGAATGAGATGATGATATATCACACCATATCACGTAAAGTTTCTCATGTGCATCGCAACAGAGTAAAGTAATATGTCCTTTTAGTTCAAGTTCCGATTTGTTTTCTTAACTAGGAAAGAATATGGATGTGTATGGCAAGTTTCTCTGCATGTGCGAGAACAGTGGTGCTTACATCAGGATAGAGAGTATAAAAGGGCTAACGTACATTCTGAGGGTTAAGTGGCCTGCTTTATATCTTAAGTGGCGATTCTTGTAAGTTAGACTAGTTCGTAATTTTGAGTTACATTTGGAGACAATGAAAGAAAGCTCATATGTGATCACGTCGAGTCAATGGTCTTTCAAGATGTTTTGTGATTCTCTAGAGAACTGATGTTCAGAAGGTTTATGTTTTCCTGTAGGTACCAGGAGTTTGCTAAGCTAATCCTTACTAACCTATGACCTTGCCTGTCGTACAAGTTGACAGTGTGGCTTCATTAAGCAGTGATATCTTCTACGATATATTGAAACGACTCGATGGCCCTACCTTGGCCAGTGCAGCATGTGCTTGTGCTGCATTTTGCTCTATCTCAAAAGAGGAGAAACTGTGGCAAGATGTTTGTTCTTCTTTGTGGCCTTCAACCAACAGGGATGATGTGAAGACTTTGATTATATGGCTAGGTGGATTCAGGAAATTTTATTCAGATTGTTTCCCCCTGATAGTCAACAAGGAGTTCTCCGAGTATCAGTGGCAGGAGTATCTTCAGTACCCTGAAGAATGGGCCGAAGCCGAGTACTATGGCGACATAGATGAATCCGAAAGTGTATCTCCCTCAGATTTTGTTTCTATTGTCGACATCAGGTACAAAGATAGAACAATATGTTCCAAAGTCCTGTGGGGGATTCCAAATGCCGACGGATCCAATGGCTGGTTTCACAACTGCCCTTTCCGTATCGATCTGCTTACTTCCGCTGCCAGGGACGACGACGACAACAACGAGGGAGAAGTTTTCCTTTCAGTTAATGATGGTCTGCCACCAATTGTATCCATGGAGAAAGAAAGAAAAGATGGGAAGCTATGGAAGGAGCTTCGTGACGGACTTAGGCTTAGTTGGATAGTTGTCAACACTAAAAGCAAGCAGGCTGCCAATCTAGCAAGCTGGAGTCCTCTTGGTGGACAAAGGCACTGGCCAACCGACAAGGATTTTGTAATCCGGTTTGGCTCGGTCCTTTCTGCCAGGGATATCCTTCCATGTCAGGTTGTGAAGTGCATCCTCGTGATGAAGTTCAGAGTGATCCACACTGAAGGAGAGGGTTTCCAGACAACACTCAAGCTGACGGAGCTAAGCATGCAGTTGGAAGACATGGAAGGTGCTCATGTGAATGGAAGGAACAGTTTGCTTATACTGAAGGAAGCACTGAGCTGCAGACGTAGCAAAAACTACAGCGAAGTTCTGGAGTCGTGTAATCTGTACTCGAAAGTGCAGAGCGAGTTGAAGGAAGAGAAGATGAGGAATGAAAGCAGGATAGATAGGTTTTGTATAATATCTGGAATCACAGCTTTCCTATCAATCTGGTACTACTTCCTCTGATGGCAGCTAATTAAGAGTATTGAGTTCGTTGTGGCGCTCTTATTTTTTCCGTTCGTTTCTGCTTTCAATAGTTGAGTTTTTTTCTTTCTTTCTTTCTTTCTTTCTTGTGAGATCCGTTTTCCCACCAGATAATAAAGGAGTACATTCCCACAAAGCTTTTGATGTTCGGAACAACCTTCGCAGACTTAAAACATTGCTGCCGACTTTTCCTACCCCAGCAATAGAGATCGACATATTTTGAGAAACCACTTTTTAACGAGACCCGATATGATGCTAACATAATTCATTACAGGTATTATAGTAAGAAGGTCTTTTGATTATTCCGGCGCGCCATAAACTTAGAATTATAATTAGGAAATCACATTGATAGCTTCTACTCTGAGAGCTAGATTTGCCTCAATTATTTGTCTCTTGCCTTCAACTTTCCTCAAGATAGATTATGCTATTTCAAGAGTTTGTTGAGCTTCTTTGTGGATAAACTATTACTCATTATAGCTTCTTCCTCCGTCCTGTCTTTCTTGTTACTCAGTAGCGGAGGTGTACTGTCAGTCGGGGGGTTTCAGGTAGAGTCAATTAGATTACGGTTTAGTCAGATATTGGGTTGCAGGACTGTCAAGTTATGGGTTGATCGAGTTACGAGTAAGTTGAGTTGCAGATCAATTGGGTTACGGGTTGATCAAGTACGGGTCGGGCGGATTGCGAGAGGATCGAGTTGCGGGTTGTTCTGATCAATTCATTGTATTGCTTACTCTTTACTTGTTACAACTCACACTTTATTTTATTACACCAATTTCAATAATTTTTTGCAATTTAGAAACAATTTGTTTCTACAATTCTACCTCATAGTCCTATGTACTTATAAAAGGTTTTTTAGTAGTACTTATTAAAGTTTAAAAAAACTTGTCAAAATGCTACATTAATTTGCATTATTTTAGGGGTCATTTGGATAGAGGAATGTAGCAAGGGATTTGTGAGAGATTTTAATACAATCCTTCGTTATGCAAAATTTTAAAACAATCTTGCGTTTGGGAAGATGAGATAATGTTGGCATCAGAGATTTCGAAATCTCTCAAATGCATGTTTCTAAAATAGTTGATGGGCATAAGCTATTTCTAAATCCCACACTTAAATATTATTTCTTCCATTTATGTCCCTTATAATTTAACTAAATCCCATCCTTACCCTTCCACCATATGACCAGTGACCTCCCTTTTCTTATGTCCATCGTCGTTACGCTTGTTTCCTTTTCCAAAGACGCTCTTTGATCAAAAACTAATCGCTAGCGTCCAGATCCAGTTCAGAGCCATAAGCGCCGGCTCCAGTCGTTCTTGCTAAAGTTGACGCATGATTGTTTCGTACATCATGAACATCTCCATACATTCTTGCTAAAGTTGACACTCATACTCCCATTACATGTCAACAACTTCCCTTTCCCTCTCATCAGCTTCCCTTTGCCTCTCATAAGCTTCTCTATCAGGGGAATCCATGAAGGCAAAATTGATTCCTTCTGCAATAACGATCAAAGCTTTTTTTCCAGAGGTTGACACAACTCTACATGGTTAAAGTTGAATGAACAGTTGATGACATAACTCATTCTATTTAAAGGTGAATGGACAGTTGATGGACGCAACTCATTCTGATTAAAACTCAATGAACAGTTGATGACACAACTCATTCTAATTAAAGCTTAATGAATAGTTGATAACACAACTCATTTTAATTAAAAGAGAAAATTTGACATTGTGACATTGCTTATTGGGAGCAAAAACCACTTTTATGGTGCCAAAACCATTTAAAATTCTAGCATTTTCCAATTTGTTGTTGGAGATGATCTAAGACCTAGCGTCTTCTTAGACCTTGGTTTTTATATAACATAAAAGCATACGATATTTGTAAGTACAATAAACTTTACTATTTTTCAAATTTTTTTTCAAGAAAACATAATTTACTTTCGTTCAAATTATTTTGAAGCTAAAATAAATTTAAATAAATATTATTAATACACAAAAATAAAAAGATCAATTTTGGTTATTTTTTATGAATATTTTATATAAGAATCATTTTTAGTTCTTTTACATGACTTTTGATATAAAAAGTATGTATAAAAATCTATCAATAAAAAATCCAATTATTTTTATGAAAAATATAAAAAAAAACTTCAACCAATTGTTTTTATAAAATCTACAACACGGCCAAACTTATGGGGGATATTGGGTTAGGCGGTTAGCAGTACATCGATAAACTAACTGATAATCTACGCTTAAAAGTTAATATCATTAATCAATTACAAGTTAGCGGTGCATTTATCGGTAGGTTGAAATAGTTTTTGGAGTAACCGACAATCGAATAGACGATTAACGGTTGACTAAAAACTAACGGAATGTAAATATCTATGTTTCTCTCCCCAAAAACAACCTTATCCCTCCCCCTCAAAAAAAGCTCTCCAACTTCGAACAAACAATCTCCTCCCCATCCCGAACCACTTCTTCTTTCCCTAATTTTCTCCTAGCACGAGCCCTAAGATTTAATGAGATAAAGAGCACCATCGATTTTGCAATTGAAACAGAGGATTAAGATTGGATTGAGAAGATAAGATGACTTATGTTGGAGGAAAGATAGCAAAGAACACTCCCAATTTCTTCCATCAATGGTTTCCTTCACCAAGTTCACACTCATCACTCTTTTCCTTCCTCTCTTTGCTTTATTCTTTCAGTCACAATAGGAACAACAAGCCAAACCCAAATCAATGATAAAAATATTATAAAAACACATATATATGTAAGGAAAAATCTAAAAAAATGCACGATTAGTTGATTAACCTACATAATAACCGATAACCACCTATAGAGTTATAATTAACCGACTAATATAAGTGATGCTGTTAATAGTAAGCAAAGTAGTTTAACGGTTAACTGATAGTAGGATATACAATTACAAATTTACAATCATAACCAAATGGAACTGACTAACAACCCTAACAAAACTAGCCTGAGTTACCTATAAGCTATTTATTTGTGAGATTCGTATCTTGATTTCTTGGCAATCCAAGCAATCCATCGACAAAATAAATAAAATAACACCAAGTGTGAATCTGATAAGGTCCAAGGTGTTACTTACAATGCCTAGATACGAGCCAAACAAGAAAATCATGCAGATAATCCACAGAATAAATGCCATACCTCAGATCTAGAAATTCACTTTTAATATAAAATAAAATATATATCTTATTCTATTTATACCTTTACTTATTAATGCCTCTAATTTCAAACTATTTCACCCCCACCCATTTGTTGAGATGGAATGTGTTAATTAATTAACAAACACACTAATAAATAATAATCATTAGAAGATAAAAAATTAAAAAACCCAAATCTCACCCGTTTCCGATTCCAATCACAAAACTACCTGGAACATGATACCTTCCCCGTAAAAATTTCCTCCCACGCGCCGGCATCTCAACGAGTCAAAAATTCTTCCTCGAGTGGGAATGGAGAGCTAGAGCTAGAGCTAGGGAGAGTGAGAGAGAAGCACATCAAAATCCAATCCAACCCCACGACGAATCCTTGTCTGTCCTCTGTCCTCCAATCTCTCTCCCACTTCCCCACCACCACCGCCGCATACGGCGCCAAAAGAAACTGCAACCACAACCCGCCGCCGCCCCCCTCACCACCACCACTTTCCGTTCTTTTCTCTGTCCTCCTTCTTCCGGCGAGAAACAACTACCGTACTGCTGTTTTCAACCCAGAGAAGAGAGAATGCCTTTTCCCCACTCCCTGCTTTACTCCACTCTGCCCCACCACCACCACCATCATCCAAATTTCATCAATCGAATTTGAAAAGCAAACTCCTTTTCTCTCTCTTTTTGACTACCCAGTTCCCAAAAGCTGCTTCATTCGCTCTCCCCTTCTGCAATGGCGATTCCAGCAGCAGGAACTGACCCAGCAGCAGCGGTGGGTCACTGGGATTCGGCGGTCAAGAAGATGAAGCGGTTCAACCCAGTCGAGCCATCTGTAGGAATCCTCGGCTTCTCCTTATTCGCTCTCTTGCTCTTCGTCTTCTGCTTCTCCTCCCGCTCCGGCGACCACCGGGCCGTTTCTCCGGGCTCCTGGCCCAATTACCAATCCGGGTCGATTCACCGGGTCGAGTTTCTGGACGACGATGGGAACAACGGCTGCGATGTGTTTGATGGCAACTGGGTTTGGGATGACAGCTACCCGCTCTACGAAAGTAAAAATTGCGCCTTTATTGATAGTGGGTTTCGGTGCTTGGAGAATGGGAGGCCTGATAGCTTCTACACCAAGTGGCGCTGGCAGCCCCATCGTTGCAATTTGCCCAGGCAAAATTCTATCTCTTTCCTTGCGTCCCTGAATTTTATTTTTATCCCACGGCAAAAGTTTGAATTTTTTTTTTTGCTCAATTGACAATGACAGATTTGATGCGAAGGTGATGCTGGAGAAGTTGAGGAACAAGCGGCTTGTGTTTGTGGGCGATTCGGTAGGAAGGAACCAGTGGGAGTCGCTGCTCTGTATGCTAGCATCTGCGGTTCATGAGAAATCAGAACGAGATTCGGATTCTGAATTGATTTACGAGGTGAATGGGAACCCGATTACGAAACACAGAGGATTTCTGGCGTTTTTGTTTAAGGAGTACAATTGTACTGTCGAGTATTACAGAGCGCCATTCCTGGTTTACCAAGGGAGGCCTCCTTCAGGAGCCCCAGCAGGGGTGAGGATGAGTTTGAGGTTGGATAAATTGGATTGGACTTCACGGGGGTGGCGGGGTGCCGATGTTTTGATCTTCAACTCTGGGCACTGGTGGAACTATGAGAAGACGATTAAAGTGTAAGTTGTTATATGTGGCATTGTGTAGCTTGAATTTGTTTATGGGGTGCCATGTGTTCTGCATTTGCTGTTTGAATGTGTGTACATAGTACTCTATACGTGACTGAAATGTTTGTGTAGTTGCGAATTTAGTGCGGTTGGAGATGATCACTGTAGAGGCAGGAGCTCATTTAGTCAGAACTTATCGTCTGTGTTTGCATATTGTTTATCCCATATTGCGAAAGTTTACGACTTGTAGTGTGAAGCGATCATATGAACTTGAAACATAGAGGAGGTGGATTGTTTGCTTATGTTATATGTTGAAGATAACTATGAATGTGTCTGAGCTTCTTACGGTTTGTTCCTGTTTGTTTGTCCCAACTTTTCTCAGTCTTTGTGCAAACTCTTCTCCTGTTTAGATGTTTTGCAATGTGAAGCGTATCAGAGCTTAGAGCCATTCATGCATGCCTTTGCCTACTAAAGCAATTTGGTAGAAGAGCTTCACTAACCATAGAATTCTGTCATTTGTTT